CAATTAAGACAGGCTCAGGTTCTGCATTTTTTGGTGTTTGAGAAAGCTAAATTCAAGACATAAGGTAAAGCCCAAACATATATTTGTTTAAATATTAGGATGATTTCAGCCTTGAACAAAAAAAATCTACAAAATTTCTTTCCTACCCCAAACATGAGAGCAACGAGTTAACAACTTTTTTTTTTAACTATTCTCAACTAAAATCATTTTCAATAAAAATATTTGTGCAATTATTTCTTCGCGTTCAAAAATGACAATTATTTAAAGTTTTAATTCCCCTCAAATTGAAGGGGTTACAAGTTTAATATTGCCATAATTCTCGAACGCTAAAAGATTTTTCCATAAAATTTGAACGTTTTAAATTAATCTAATTTTGGTTGAGATAAGTAAAAACAGTTTTTTGAACTTGTTGCTCTCATCTTTAGAACAGGCGACAAAATTTATTGAGTTTTTTGTTTTCTAGCTCCAATCATTCCAATATTTTTACAAAATTTCCTTATTTTGACACAAGTATAAACATATAAATGTTTTCAGTTTACTCTATGTTTAAAAGTTTGTATCTAAAACATAAAAAAAGGCTGGATCCGCCAATGAGTTTGCAGTTTTTTCTACAAAGTGATTATTTTAAAAAAGCGTATAAATTCCAAAAAAAAAAACGCTTTATATTTTGTTTTTAAATCCCGTCTTTTAAACGTCTTTTAAACATTAATGTTTAAAAGACGTTTAAAAGACATTTAAAATACATTTAGATCGTAACTTTTAAAAACAAATGCCCGTCGGGATGGATTAAATCTCATACACACCCAAAGTATTATCTTTTAAAACATCTTTTAGGTCTACTTAAAACCTTTAAATCGAGGCAATGAGCAGTGTATAGTTTGAAATTTAAACAAAAAAACAAACAACAATGTAAGTAGTTTTAATTTTATTTTCATGTGTATTTCCAATTTTTTATTTTTTTATTTTTTTTTTACTTTAAAAAAAAAAAAATTTGATAATCAATAACAAAATTTATGTATTCTGTTTTGTAAATAAATATAGTTTAACAGAAAAAGGATATTTAGCATAATCAGGCGGATCAAGACATGGCTACAGTTACGAATGGGTTCAAATGCACTAAATAACTATATGTTTACAGTTACCGATAAATATAGAATGGATGATGTAGATATACAATCAGTAAGAAAAAAACTTCTATTTAAGTCTTCGCAAAAAAAGAGTTACTATAGAAACTTTTAATTGTCTATTGTCACAAAAATTGAAACCGAATTATTATATTGTTTTGGAAGTTACTGGAAGATAAAAGACTAAATCTGTAGAGCAAGATAACGATTGACTGATGACTTAAAAGATTGCAAATTATATGAATCAGAAAAGCAAGATAAAGGAAGCGAATTCCAAAGAACTGATGTTCGAGGAAATAAACTAGAAGAATAAGAGTTTTTGAAGCACTTAGGAACAGTCGCAGAAAAAGGATGAGACTTAATGGAATGGCGAGTAACACGAGAATGAATTTTAGTAGATGGCACAAGGGACGCTAGCTCTTTAGAGCAGTGCCCATTATAGTATTTGTAGAAAAGAGAAAGAGAAGCAACATTACGACGATGTGACAAAGGTTGGAGATTGGCTGCCAGAGCAGGTCCAACTATGTTTACAATTCGTTTTTGCACCTTGTCTAAAAGAGAAAGAGCATCATTAGAAGATCCGCCCCAGATGTGGCAACAGTATTCCATACAGGGACGGATTTGAGATTTATAGAGATAGAGAATAGAATCTGGAGTAAGAAAGTGTCGAGCTCGATAAAGAGATGCAACCTTAGCAGATGCTAATTTTGCAATGGATTTGATATACGGTTTAAAAGAAAGATCAGAAGTAAGAGTTAATCCTAGAAGATGAATGGTAGATGACTCATCTAGTACATTACCATTCATAAATATAGGAAGATCTAAATTATTACGATAACGATTGGCCGAATAAAATTGAGTTTTATCTGAATTAAAGTTTACCAGCCACTGTGAGCCCCAAGCTGTAGCAGAAGTGAGATCCTTTTCAAGCTCAGATACCCCCTCCAAGCAATCAGAGAGTGTAGGCTTCTTATCATGACAAGAGTAAATGGTAGTGTCATCAGCGAATAATGCCACCTTAGATGTGAGAATATCTGGAAGATCGTTAATGTAAATTAAAAAGAGTATAGGGCCAAGGATTGAACCTTGAGGAACCCCTGAAGTTACAGGATGTGAAGAAGAGTGTTGTCCATCGAGGACAACTTTTATACTACGATTGGAAAGAAAGGACTCAATAATCTTAAAGACGTTACCAGCTACACCATAAGAAGAAAGCTTATGGAGAAGACCAGCATGCCAAACTTTATCAAAAGCTTTAGAAATGTCAAGTGCAATAGCCTTAATCTCTCCACCTCTATCTAATGCACGGTAAAACCTATCGGTTATTACTGTTAGCACATCAGCTGTAGAACGAGAAGACCGAAATCCATATTGATGATCAGAAAGTAAGTTATTTGATTCAAGATGAGAGATTAAGTGTTTGTTGATTAAAGATTCAAAAACCTTGCTTATGACAGGAAGAAGACTAATGGGACGGTAGTTAGATGAATCAGATCGCTCTCCGGAATTTTTGAAAATAGGGATAACAGATGCTGCTTTCCAGCATGATGGAAAACAAGACTCTGATAAGCACTTGTTAAATAGTTTAGAAAGTTTGGATGAAAGCTCCGGAGAACACCTCTGCAAGACTACAACAGGAATGTTGTCAGGACCACAAGCTGTTGAAGAGTCTAAGCAGGAAATTACTTTAGATACAGAAGCTGAAGTGATGCGAATGTCAAGCAATGGATCAACCTGTTTGACGGCTATGTCAGGTAAAACGCAACTAGTGGAATCAAGAGATGATATTGATGAAAAGTTCTTAGCAAACAATTCAGCTTTGTCTTTAGGTGAAGTGACAAAGTCTGAACCATGCAAGAGAGAAGGAATAACAGGTTTGCCCTTATTATTGATACTGTTAAAGATTCTCCAGAAGTCTCGAGAGCCTAATTTTTGTGATGAGATATGAGATTTAATGACCTGGGAATAGCGAGCTTTGGCGTCAGACAAAACCTTTTTTACAATGGTTTCTGGCGATAGTGAACAGATGTCTGTTTTCTGGAGAATTGTTTTGCTGATAGATATGGAAGCAACGGTTTCGATTAGAAATTGCTGCAGCGCAATGTGAGAAAACCAAGGAGAAGAGTGAGGCTTGACCTGGAATCGTCGAGAGGGAATAAAAGATTCCATGCCAGCCTGAATCCACGAAGTTATGTAAGAAGCACATTTGTCAGCAGGAAGACGAAAGATTTCTACCCAAGGGCCATCACGAAGAAAATCACGGAAAGAGTCCCAGTCAGCTTTAAGGTAGTTGTATGTGGTACGATGATAGGGGGATTCTGATGAAGTAGAAGAATTTGATAATAGTTTTAGAGAGATCAAACCGTGATCAGAAGTACCTAAGGGTGAATGTGGAGAAATTGAGCACTGACTAGGATCCAAAACAAGACATAAGTCGAGTAGAGAAGGTAAATGATTAGGGTTGTCTGGAAAACGAGTTGGAAAGTTGACTATTTGAGTTAGAGATTGAGAAAGGCAAAAGTTGAGGGCCTTAACGCCAGCAGAGTCACTGACACTAGAGCTAAGCCAATCGGTGTGATGGGCATTAAAGTCACCAACAACGACGATATTGGCCGATGTTTTGTTTAAAAGGTTTAAAATTTAGGTCAACAAATTATACAAAATTTATAATACAAGCTATTATAAAATTAAAACAAATAAAAAAAAAATAGATGTGATTTTAGCGATAAACCGCCTTTGCAAAGGCTTAATTTATTTTTGAAAAATGTTGATGTTAATGTTTGTTTGTTCTCTTTTTTTTGTTTTTATTAGCTCGCTTTCTTGTTTGTTTGTTTGTCCGGGTGGAATTTTGCAACTCAATTTTAACCCACTTTTCGATTAGCTAGAGCTCTGAAACTTTTACTATAGCTCAGAACCCGATGACAATGCAATATTATACTACTTTTACCATGATTTGCCGAGTTTCTTGAACAATTTCAGCAAAAAAAAATTTATTATGGCGAATTTTTTGGAGGTGTCGCCGCAATTTATATTGTATACAATTTTATATCTGATATGTCCTAATAATTGCATTGTACATAGAGGTTCTGAAATTAAAATCTAATTGCAAAATTCCACCCATCAAAAACTAAAAAGAAGAAAATAGTATAACAAATAAAAAAACTTTTGATAAAACCACGTTTTTGTAATGAACTAAAAAGTAGAAAATAATTTTCTCTTGTGGCTATATAAATTTTTGAAAATTAATTGAGTCGATAGTAAGTGACATGAAAACTTTTGATTATGAACTCTTAATAATTACGATAATATTTGTAAAATTTTAAACGAAAAACGTGGTGCGCATCTTGTCACTTTAAATGATCATCATCGTCCTTAATTACTTTAACTATTGCTTCCTTCTTCTGCTCTTTTTTTTTCGTTAAATGCGCACCACGTTTTTCGTTTAAAATTTTACAAATATTATCGTAATTATTAAGAGTTCATAATCAAAAGTTTTCATGTCACTTACTATCGACTCAATTAATTTTCAAAAATTTATATAGCCACAAGAGAAAATTATTTTCTACTTTTTAGTTCATTACAATAAACGTGGTTTTATAAAAAGTTTTTTTATTTGTTATATTTTATCATAAACTGCAACCGTTGCCCTATACAACATCCGGCATCCCTGGACAAGACAAGCATAAAAACATTGCATTGTTACTTATTTTATAATCAGAAAATGGAACTTGGTGATAGGCCAGCCTTATTATATACATACTACTGACCAATCAAAAATGGTATATTAGTAAACTTTGGTATTATGGTATATTAGTAAACTTTAATAGCTATAAACTTTATTAAATTATATGAGCTTTAAAAAAAGAATATTAAAAATTCAACTTTATTTTTTTCTTTTAATTTATTATTATGTTTCATTCATTTACAAGCAAACTAATAATCTGTGTATAAAATATCATTCCATACTTGCGTAACGTTTAGTCTTTTCAAAATGCTGTTTTGTAGTTGCTCTATGTTTTTCCGTGGTTTTATACGGATCACTTGTTCCAGGCTTTTCAGTAGTATGATGACGAGAATGATGACTTCCTGAGAAATGTCGTTTTGTATTTGTAATATGTTGCCTAGTACTTCTATCTGTACCCGTATGTTCATTTGTTGTATGAGTATGATCTGTTATTACACGTACTTCTCTAGTTTGATGGCCAGAATGATGTCTACTTCTTGTAGATGGATGCTGTGTACCTGCAGTTTCGCCTAAATCTCTTCCACGACGCAATAAATCTTTAGAGCTAACTCTTAAACTTTTAGACTAAAAAAGTATAAGAACTTTAGTTTTGTTTAAAATTATACTGACCCAAAAAAAAAGAATTAGTTTTACTGACCCAAGAAAAAGATTTTATTTTATAAATATACATTCGCACACATATATCAACATATATAATTTTTTTATATTTCTCATTGGTTCTTATTAGTATATTTTATAATTTATAAAGAAAATAATTTACAATTAAAATAATTCACATAAAAGACAACAATAACTCATACAAAAGTAAACAAACCTTGCTACTGGTTGATCTGGTCGCAACAAACACAAAAAGCACGGCTAAGCACAAAACTTTAAACATTGTAATGAATTCTCTAGGAATTTCCAATAGTTTTCTAGGAGTTTCCAATAGTTAAATTTACTAACTATTGCTGTTTTCTTGTTTTATAGTTCAAAGGTGCGAAATAACAATCTTATACGAAACGTAACCTAGATACTTCATAAGTATATACAAAAAATAATTATTCGACACGTTTTTGATCTAGACTTACTAATTATTAAATTTCTCTTAACAAACAAAAATCTTTTATTTAAAAAAAGTATATATATACAGTATTAACTATATTCGGTTATAAAGGTCATTTATTTATATAAAAAACTATATTAAAAAAGTTTATTTATATATATGCAGTTCTCATTTTTAAAATATTTAAAAGCATTATCATTATTTATTTTTAAAAAAGGAAAACGCTGCCTACTATTATATATATATATATATATATATATATAAATATATATATATATATATATATATATATATATATATATATATATATATATATATATATATATATATATATATATATATATATATATATATATATATATATATATATATATATATATATATGCAGTTCTCATTCCCAATGATTTAAAACTTCTTTGTACTTTTATCCGAAATCTTGAAAAAGTTTTTGAAAGCATTATCATTATTTATATTTTACTATAATACAAATAAATAAATAAATATATATATATTTTTTTCTTTTTATTATATTTTAAATAAGCATTTCGTTACAATATTTAAAATACAAATATATAAATATAAATAATGATATATATAAATAATGATTGTTATTAAAAAATAAAAGAACGCCGGGACTCGTAGAAGTCTATATGTTCTTGTCGTCGAGTAACGCTAGAGAATGTTCGTTTTAAAATTTATAAGATATTTACAAAATAAAAAATAGGTTAACTTAAAATATTTCATTACAAATACAATATGCTTTATATCTATTACATATGTAGATTACAGTTGTTAATGATGCATATCAACTTTTATAAATTCATGTTAAAATAGTAAAAAGAAAGATTACTAAAAAATATTAGAAGTATATTGTTAAATTATCAATTGTAAAAATGAGTTCTTAAAGTTTTCGTTAAAAAAAAGGACTTTGATGAATAAAATCCTCAATTTTTTAAAATGTTAATTCATAAGAATAGTCAGCAATAATTTAAAAATTTAAAAAAATTTAAAAAAATTTAAAAAAATTTAAAACAAAATTAAAAACAAATTGTTCGAAAAATGGGCTTCTTAATGAAATTGTTATTCGTAAAATGTACTTATTTTTATATTTCGATGAATACAAATTATGGAAAAAAATCGAGGATGAATTGGTTTTACTTCTAAACATAAAACAAAGAATATTAAAAATATCAAGGTCATGTATATTAAAATCTTTCATTTCAAATAATAGATGCATGAGTATAATGGTCTTTAAAATGTATAAGACGTCATGCTTCTGCTGGCAATAAAGTTTATTTTCATTTGTACTAATTATGCCTAAAACCCAACCTGGCCCGACCCGACCCTAAAGCCGACTTTTCTGTATTTTACTAAAAGTCTTTGTTTTTGCAAAAATATACATTTGTTTATCTTTTTATTGGTTAAAAATTTACAGATTTTCAAATAATACTCAAAAATCTGCAAATTTTTGGTTTTTAGAATATTTTTTACAAACTACTTCTTTTTAGATATATAATGTAAAAGGAAGAAGTTAGAAATTAAAATTCTTTAGAGTGTCTATATTATAAAAGTATACGGTTTTTATTTTGTATTATCCAGGAAACGATGAGATAATTACTGAAGCCAATATGTTGGTGTGTGGGTTTTACACAAAATTTACAAAATCCAGTTAATGCTCATCCGGAGAGAGGAGCCAGTCAATGAAGATCTAAGGAACAAAAAGATTTTTTTTTAATGCCACGCTGTTCAACTGTAATGGAGTTTAAATTAAAATAAATAAATAAAACACAGTTTGGTTATATAATACATATGTCATTATATAAACATTATGAAAGTAACAAAGAATGTAAATTATGACTTTTTAATTAACTTTTATTACTCTGCCATCATAGATAATTGTCTTGGATATGTCAACAGTGTACCATTCATGACAACTTTCTGATTATAATTTTTTTTTACACATACTATAATCTAAATCATCAAGTTGCATAGATGACAAATTGTTAAATAATTTCTTATTTCTTTTTATTATTTTATTTATTATTATCATTAATATTATAATTGTTTATTTACTTATTTCTATTAGTTATTTATTATTTTATTATTTATAGTATTTATAAAAAATTTAGCACTTATAAAAAAAAAAAAGTTATTAAAAGTTGCTAATGGCATGCTTAAATTATAGCTAAGATTTCTTATAAACAGACTTCATAACATCAAAAAATTTATTTAAAAGAAGAAAGAAAGTCAGGGAAAAAGCTGTTTACAAACAGCCTTTTCCCAACTTTCTTTCTTCTTTTTTTTTAATATTTTAATATATCCGTTGAGTATCAAATCACATTTGTATAGACTAGTTTAGATTAACTGTATTTATATATACATATATGTATATAATTATACACCTGTATGTACTTATACATATATGTGTATAATTATATACACATATGTATATATAAATACAGTTAATTACAGATATCTTGACCCTCCAAGAAACCAAGGAAAACGGTTCTACTAAACGAATGTTTGACTTAAGCTGAGTATAACTGCCTAAATAGTTTGTGTTATGTGTGTATATACGTTGATGTATCACATTAATATATAATGTATCTTTATTCAAATAGGTTGATATCTTGGTCAATAATGAAGTAAATTAGGCATGGATCAGTTATGGGTTGTTTTTTCTCACTATTGATCACTTAATGTTCACATTCGCTTGTGAACAATGTGAAGTATAATAATACTTGTAAAATGTACAAATGTACCTTACTTAATAGTTATTTTTATTTAGATGCAATTACCTGATGTTCTTAAATAAAAAAGCACAATGCAAAAAGATTTAGACTGTTTGAACTTTGCACCATATTAATTGGATCGTGAGAAATTTGTTGATTATACAAACACTGGTTGAACCATGAAAACAATTATTGAATCATGCATCAAATCAAAATGAGGCTGATGACAGCAGGCGTTAAAAAAAAATATATGAGTTTGACATTGGTGTTGAAGATAAAGATACCATGATTTTATCAAGATAGTTTTGAAAATAATTTTAAAGTTTTTGTTCTAAAAAAATGTATAAATTATTTTTTTGGTTTTATTTGATTTCAATAATGGTTTTTTAATTTCTATAATTTAGTTACCTGCGTTAAAAAAATGGTAGATGGCAGATTGTTTGTAATGCTATAACAGCAGTTAGTATTAAAATATAAAATAAACTAATAATACTACTAATAATAGTAAATGAAAGCTGTAAAAGTTGAGAACAAGATGAGCAATATAATAGCATAAGATATTGTACTATGACAGCTATTATAAGTTTATGAAGAAATATTGTTTCTTTTCTTACTCATAATAACACAATATTGTGCAAAAAAAAAAAAATGTTTTTTAGGATTAAAAGATTCACGGCGCAAAAAGCTGTATTTTTGAGGTTTACAAACTCATGTATAAGTTGATTGAATCAATGTTAATCTAACATTGATTTTTGGTTTGTTTTCAACGTTGATTTGTGTTTCCATTTCAACCAAAAATCAACCATTTTTCAACCATAAATATCAACGGTTTTTCAACGTTGATTGTGCTTGCTGGGTACTGGTCTTCCTTTTATTTTATTTGTTTAACCGAGGAGTTTATTTCCCGTGTATTTATATGCACATTCTCGATAAGGTTGATTTTTCGTAATAGTATAAACTTTTTATTGAAAAAAAGTGTAGAAAAATCCTTCATTTTTTTAACAAATTTAAAATTAAACTTTAGAGTTTCTCTTTCACAATCACAGGTAAAAAATAGATAAATCTTTCTATAAAAAGTGCAAATTTGAGTTTTTTATGGCTGGTTCAGTGATTTTTATTACTTAGTTTTTTTTAAGCGCACAAACCATAATTTCATACGGTTTTTAAGTGCACAAAGCATACTTTCTTACGGTTTCTCTTTTATTTACAGCATAAGTAGGTAGAAAAATGTACCTTTCTAGAAGAAATAAGACTAGTGTTTTGAAGATTTTTTGATTTCATTTTTAATGAATTTCAAGTATACCATTTTGACCTACCAAAAATATCAAACGTAACTTACATTACTTAACAAAAAAAAAAAAAAAAAATGCATTGTCATTATAATGTTCGAAACAAATCAGCTGGAAATTAAATAGTTTTTTTGAACATTTATATAAGCTATAAAGTTTGAAATACTTATTTCAAAATTTAAAAACGCAATACTTAATTCGACGCCAAAAATCTTTTATTATGTTTACGCATGATCATACTTTGATGGTTGCTAAATATAAGTGTACTATTACTTGAATATATTACATTGATTTTCTTGTTACATGTTTACACCATGGTACACGTTTATAAATTTACATGTTGCCACCAGGGCCGGCGCGAGGGGGGGTGCCATTACAACTTTTGCCGACTAAAAAAAAAAAAAAAAAGGTCCTCGTTTTCCAATTTGCCGACTGCCATTACGACATTTGCCGACTGTCTAACCTATATCGAAAGAGTCCACATTTGCCGACTAACTAGTCTAAAAGGGTCCGATTTGCCGACTAAGGGTCCAGTTTGCCGACTAAAAATCATTGATGGGGGGTGTCACACCCCCCACACCCCCTATCGCGCCGGCCTTGGTTGCCACATCTTAAAAAAATTTGTTTAATTTAGTTTAGTTTATCATTTGTTTTTAATAATAATTTGTTATTTTAATGCAATAAACCATGTGCGAATTTTGATATATGACTTAAAAAGAATAAGTGCAAACCTTGGTATGAGAAAAAATTTAAAAAAAGAAAGAATAAAAATACCGATTTACATTTACAAAAATGGATTTTTAATTGGAACACAACATTTTTTTCTAAATGTTATTTTTTAAAAGTAGGATACTGAGAGTTATAAGTCTGCAAATAAACAGCGTAAATTAGATGGTATAATTTTATTACGTGGAATCTATTTTTTTTACGGGAATGTCAAAGATAATCACGTGAGCATGCGTTGTTTGAAATTTAATTTTTCTAAAGTGTGAGTTTTTTTCTAGACACGTGATTATTTTTCTCTTGATTTTTTTGTTCTAAAAGAAAAACGGACAAATGGAATGTCACTTTGAAACAAGTAATGAGCATAACAAAAATATAATTACTAATTATGTTATATCTAAAAACAATTTTATACTGAACTGCTATATAATTTTGATATCTACATGCCGTGTCTACACGTACAAAAAAATGCCTTTCGCGCTTTTATTGTTATGCGAATATTTTATTTAATGATTCTAAATACTTCAGAATAAAAAAAAAAGCGAATATAGTATTGAAGCCACTTGGACCTTGAAAATATATTAGATTTTAAAAAACAAATAATATATAAACAATGTATTTAGTAAAAACTCATGTAATGTGTCTACTGTAACTCTTTCTAACTATCACCTTGTATAACTTTCCGGATCTTGCCTGTATCTGATATTAAAGAAGTATTTTTTGGATCCAATTTTAAAGCTGATTCATAATCATAGAGAGCTGAAAATAAAAAAATAATAATAAAATTTCGTGTTTTCTGTTTAGTAGAGTGGGGATATGTGGGGTGTCGTGGGTGGGTGTTTAGGATTTGGAAATAAAATAGATACCACTTTATTTCAAACAGCATTATATTATTGAATAAAAAAAAAAGGATTTACTAGTGTGACTTTTTTGCATTTATAGATGCTCAAACTATTAAATAAAAAAGTTTAAAGATCCTCTCCAATAAACACATAAACGTCTTTTAAACGTCGAAACAACGTTAGAACAAACGTTTAGCTACAGTCGATTATGGGTTCAGAATGAAACCCAGAATAACGTTTAGAACAAACCTCCGTTATACATCAAGATTTAAAAGTATTTTTGACATCTATTTTAGGATTATTAAATGCAGAAAAATCGTTTAGATATCGTCTTTATAAACTATAAAAAGAGTTAAAATTTGGTTTAATTGAACATATCAAACGTTCAATCGAATTAAACGTTTTAAATTGGTCTTAGTATTATCAATATTATTTATATTAAGCATTTATTTCCTAGTCTTACTTATCGAATGTTATTTAATTGCAGATTATAATATGCAATATACAGAATTAATAAAGTAGGTGTTATATATATAAATATATATCTTACTAGAAATATTAACACAATTCCTACAATATATATATTTATATATATATATATATATATATATATATATATATATATATATATATATATATATATATATATATATATATATATATATATATATATATATATATATATATATATATATATATATTTATAAATTAGTAAAAAATGCTTATCAAATTCCACTTTCTCCTTTAACAGGATCATCAGAAAGTGATGTGTTTTTTTACTAATTTATTACTGCTCTGTTCTCTAAGAACATTGAGAATTCTTTTTGTAGAATACATTAAAATATTTGACATAAAACAACCTTCAATGTATTGATCTTTTTTAAAAAAAGCGGCACCACGACGTGCATAAATACGGCATCTCGACAGCGCATTAGACAAAACCGGCGGATGGTACAATTCCAAGGCCTAGTATTAATGCGTAAAAAAGTATATACAAATAAACACACATATTAACATATATACACAGTAAAAAACAAAATATTAGATAGATTTAATAGTCTTACACATGAGCAATCTTGAATGCATTCTTGATATTGCTTCAAACTCAAATGACAAGCTGCTCGATTTGCAAAAAGACTGAACTTTATGTATGAAAATACTGTTGTACCATTTTTTTAAATAAAATACTTTACAAACACAACATCATAACAAAGAAAAAGAGACTACTAAAGAAAAATATTATATATATATATATATATAAAAAAAAAAACTGTGATCAAAAAACTTATTTCACTTAACTCTTTATTACACTAAAACAATAGAAAAGAAGGGACTATGAAAAAAAAAAGATTCCGCAAAAATTAAAGACTGAAAATTTAAAGACTCAGTTAAAAAGTTACCAAATCTTGTATATAACATTTTATTCTTTAAATAAAAATATTGTAGAAGTAGATTATTTATTATTTATTCTCACTTACGTTAACAACAGTTAATGTACAATGAGAGAAATTTAAGAACAGATTATTCAAGTTTCTTCTTTTTAAAGTAAGAGAACGGCAAAATGTATAATAGATAATAATAAAAATAAGTTATATAACAATATCATGTGTATTCTTTGGACATTTAGTGATGTATGAATATTTTGAAAACCAAACATGAGCAAGTTTATAACTGCAATGAATTAGGTATTTTAATCAAAAACAACGAGATTATTAAATGATTATGATATTATGAAGCTCTTTAATCAGGAAAAAAAAAAGTTTCAAACAATCTCTAAAAATAACTGACATTAACGAGTTTTTCTTGTTGAAATTTTGTGGTTATTTGCAAAACTCTTTTTATTAATACATTGCATTTGAAAAATTTTTAAAAACATAAAAAAAAAAAAAAATCATTGACAGTCTCTATTATTTAATAATTATAAATCGTATAATAAAACAAAAAGATACGCTGGTATTTTTGAATCAAGCATTAATCCTGCAGTATAAGCATTGATTGCCGCCAAAAAATTTCCTTGTTTAAAGAAACAACTAAATAAATATTGGGAAATTGCAACTAAACTCAGAAAAACAACAACAACAACAACAATCTAAACATATTTAATACACACAAACACACATATACTTTTTGTAATGATAATTTTTGTAGATTTTGAACTAGATTCAACAAGTTCAATAGCATCTCCTTTTCATAACATTACATCATGGTTGATTTTACTATGGTTGATTTTATCGTTTTTATTAGCTCGCTTTCTTGTTTGTTTGTTTGTCCGGGTGGAATTTTGCAACTCAATTTTAACCCACTTTTCGATTAGCTAGAGCTCTGAAACTTTTACTATAGCTCAGAACCCGATGATAATGCAATATTATACTACTTTTACCATGATTTGCCGAGTTTCTTGAACAATTTCAGCAAAATAAAATTTATAATGGCGAAACTTTTGGAGGCGTCGCCGCAATTTGACGCGTCACTTTAAATAAAAAATTTTCGAACAAAAAAAGCAAATTTAACTGTCGCTGTGATTTTAAATGGACCGCAGCATAAAAACAAAATCAATTGTTTACAAAATATAAAAAATAATATAACAAATAAAAAAACTTTTTATAAAACCACGTTTTTGTAATGAACTAAAAAGTAGAAAATAATTTTCTCTTGTGGCTATATAAATTATAAACTCTTAATAATTACGATAATATTTGTAAAATTTTAAACGAAAAACGTGGTGCGCATTTAACGAAAAAAAAAGAGCAGAAGAAGGAAGCAATAGTTAAAGTAATTAAGGACGATGATGATCATTTAAAGTGACAAGATGCGTACCACGTTTTTCGTTTAAAATTTTACAAATATTATCGTAATTATTAAGAGTTCATAATCAAAAGTTTTCATGTCACTTACTATCGACTCAATTAATTTTCAAAAATTTATATAGCCACAAGAGAAAATTATTTTCTACTTTTTAGTTCATTACAAAAACGTGGTTTTATAAAAAGTTTTTTTATTTGTTATATTATTTTTAAATGTATGAAGGATCGCTTTATTGAGCCACCAGCTGTTGTGGAGCAACCTGTTGTATTTATAATTTTTGCGAACTTTTTACACTTTGCATTATGCTTTTTTCATCTTTGAGAAAAAAAATTTTATCTTTACCTTTTGAATGATAAATAAACTTCCTAATATGGCTAAATTAGATTATTAACTCAAACTTGTTACTGATTTAAATATTTAAACTTAATGAATTTAAAAATTTAAACTTAAATGTTACCTCTTTAAACTTAATTACCATTAACTTACTTGAGTTGTGCTAGGTTAATATTTCAAAAAATATAGGGGAAGGTTGCGTTTGCTTTATCCCAAAAATTGTAATGTATTTTGCTCCCAAAAGATTTCAAAAAGATATATATTTTTTAAAAATAATGATAATTTCATCTTTCCTCTCAAAGAATATAAATAATTCATTAAAAATCTTTATACCAAAAATTGCGTTTTCTTCAACACACCCAATCATTTCATCTTAGGAAACCAGTTTCCTAAGATGAGCTATTTTTAATGGAACTTAAAAAAACTCAAAATAACAAAAAAATAATCACAAAAAAAAAAAAAAATTTATCTTCAAGGACTATACTTAAGTAAAAAGTAATTATCTCAATTATAAAAAAAACAATAATAAATCTTTCTAATCTCTAAACAAGTTAACGATACTTTTTTTTAAAAAAAACTTTCGCTCTTGAAATACCAAAATAAAGCTTCGCAGAGAAAAACTTTAAAAAAACGCGCTTTCTTAATAAAAAGCCGTATCTCATCTTGAGTATCTAAAAACGATCATCTTAAGCAACTTCATCGAGTACTATCATAATTTAAATAATATGACAACAGCTTATGTATTATCTCAAGTAACCCATGAAATTAGTAGTAGATAAGCATAAAATATTGAGGATGTAATAAATTTTTGATGATCTTGTTTCGTTCTGACGTAACTACAAAACATCGAATAATAAAAAATTATAACGGGAATGGTAAATTTTTTAAACAGTAAAACAATCAAAGAATATTAACTAAACAACTAAGAAATTAAAATAAATAACACCGTCGAACTTGTATGAATATCCTTAACCAAAAAAGTTCGCGAAAATATCATTATTCTACCCGTAAAAGAGGTTATACCATCTTAGTAACCTGCTCATCTTACGCAACCTTCCCCTATCATAGAAATTTTAACAAAAAACACTTCTAATTATTTCAAAAAAGAATAGTATAACAACCCGTAATTATAAACCTCGTGAAAATTTTCCTCCTGGGAAAAAAATAATGAGTTAAATCTCCAATCTGTCAAGTTTTTGATATCTCAGATAATTTGATATCTCAAATAAAATAATTAAATATACACTCCAACAACAATTGCTTTTCAATATTAAATTCTGCCTGCAAAATAATAGAGCCTAAAATTAAAGAAAAATTTAATTAAATGGCAAAAACTAGATATAAAAAAAAACAGAAAAACCGATTCAAAACTTTATATAATTAGCATAATTATAGAGTTCTTCGAATTATCAATAAAACAAGACTTTTAAAAAACTGCAGCTGAAAAATCCAAATGCAAAAAAAAAAAAAGAGAAAACCTTAAAGAAACATGAGTCAGTTCGCTCTTCTTAACCAATAAATTATACACCTTTTAAATTAACAAACCATCTTAAAGAAAACGATCTATTGATTATTAAAGAACTTTATTGTGGCAACAAAAAAATTCTTTACAAGCAGTAGATTATTTATCTGTCATAATAAAAGACAAAAAAAAGTCCTAAAATCTATTTACATTTAGAATTTAAAATAAAAGAGATATTATAACAAGCCTTTAAAAATTTTGTCAGTTAAGTTTGTGCTTGCGTGCTATTTAAAATTAAGTGTTTTATTTTTTTATTAAAAGAATATTATTTACCTCCCCAAAACTAATGGGGCACTACAGTCACAACACCACACTACTGTTTTTAAAAAATTGTGGCTACAACCTTCTCTTATAACTATGACTCCAAAACACAAACCTTGACAAACAAAGTCGTTGTGCAGAGAAATAAGTTGATGCTCATTAACTACTTTCGCTGAGTTCAAATGCAATTTCAACAATCAAGAAATTTTTGGTGCTATTTTCAAAAAACAAATAGTCTTTTTAATAAAATATTGTTTTTCATTGACACTCAAGTTAAATGATTTGTAGCAAAAGCCTTAAATAAAATCTTAAACTATAACTAAATTTTTTTTTCAAGCTGAGCTAAAAACTGTGCTAACTATGCAATTGAGCATAAATTGCATAAATTAAGCATAAATAAACATTAATTGCATAAAATAAGCATAAATAAACATTAATTGCATAAAATAAGCATAAATAAACATTAATTGCATAAAATAAGTATAAACAAACATTAATTGCATAAAATAAGTATAAATAAACATTAATTGCATAAAATAAGCATAAATAAACATTAATTGCAATATTTTTCGATTAAAACAATCAAAGTTTATTATCATGCAAATATAAGTAAAGTTTTTAACAAAATAAAATGTGTTTAACAAAAAAAACCTTTCATGATCATAAAAAATTCATACATACTCTCCTTTGTCTTTAAGCCACATGGGATTTTTTTCATCAATGTGTTCAAAATCAGAATCAAGATTTTCTCTAACTTTATTCATTTGAGCTAGTTTTTGCAGCCACTAAAATGTAAATACAATATTATCACTTAAATTAATTAAATAAAAAAGAAAGAAAACAATTCACATTCAATATACTTTATATGATTGCATTTTATATTGTATATACATCACTGTATATGAATCTAACGAAATATATATTTACTGAGACCATATTCTAATCTCTTCATGGAGTTACTGAGACCATATTCTAATCTCTTTATGGAGTTACTGAGACCATATTCTAATCTCTTCATGGAGTTACTGAGACTATATTTTAATCTCTTCATGGAGTTACTGAGATCATATTTTCTAATCTCTTCATTAAGCTTAATAGAGCGTTAGTCAAAAAACTCTTTTAAACTTTATAAATAACAAAATTCTTAAAAAATACTATTTAAAAAAGCTTTTTTTTTTTAGTTTATAAAATTTTTTTTACACTTTACACATTTATTTTTATACATTTCTACACTTTAAAAAACTTTTGACTACAAAAAATAAAATTTTTGACTAAAAGGTGTGTTATTCAGAAGCTTAATGAAAAGATGTGAGTACAGTTGCAGTTAATAAAAATACCCTATAAAACGGATATATAATATGAAGCTGGGAAGATCCTTCCCCACCACTTCCCCTTTTGTCTCTATCTTTTTTTATGCAAGTATGTGCTTAATTAAATAAATATGATGCTTTATTTATGACTAAGCTAACCAGTCAATTTAACAAAAACTATTTACACAATATGAATACTAATTAATTAAGAAACTATTTTCAACTGATATTAAAAACGTATACATATTAATTTACTTACCAGCATAAACTAATAGGTATTATTATAATAATCAACATATATTAAAATGAATTAAATACTTAAGAAACTATTAAATTGCTTGTGATGTAAATGCAATTCAAGTCATTTAAATGTGCTAGTGTTGCAGTTGTTGAGCACTTCTCTTAGTAAATAAAAAGTTGGGTGCAAGTAAAACTTAAATGCAAAGTATATTGAATTTAAATTGAATGTTCAAAGAGCAGAAAAAAGGAAACTTACACATTTTACCCATGCTTACACTCATATACATACAAATAAAAAGCATTTTTATATTATTATTATTTTTAATTAAATTTATATACATTTTTAACATCGCAATTCCCTCCATATTTAGGTTTTGAATAAGCCAGCCAACTATTTTATGCATTTTTACATGTTTTAGTATCTCTATAAAGTGTTTTTACTAAAAAAGTTTTATAAAATAGTAATCTATTTGGTTAAGAGATGGCTTTAATATTACTTTAAAAAAAAAAGGGGTCGCTTGTGCTTAGTCATTTAGAACAGAGTGGTCTACTTTTTTTTCTTATTTTTTATATGAAAATATGCAAACACAAAAGAATGGAGATCCAAATGGTGTAGATATCAAAAGAATGGAGATACAAATAGTGTAGTAGTAAGTAGGAGATGCAAGGTCTAGATATCAATACAAAAATAAAATTAGGATTATCATTTAATTTAAAACTTTGACAAATTTTTTTTCATTTCCATTTGCCTAGAACATTCAAGTTCAGCATCAATCTAAAAATCCCGAATTTCAGATTCTGATTTGCTTAAATCAATTTGCGAACAGGCAAATTGTGTTTATTTTTATTAAAAAAGTTTAGACAAATTTTGTTTAAAAAAGCATTTTTAGTTAATAAAAAATTTCCCTGATTTAGTTTAAAGTGGTATATGCACACAAAAAATTTTAAAAAAAAGGAAAAAGTGTTTAAAACTTAAAAATATCATACATTACTTGAATAAAAGTAATAAGCAATACATAAAAAAATAATAATACATAAATACTCATATTATTAATAATAAATTAATAACATAGTTACAATTTCTTCTTCAGGTAACTTTGACTCTCTTGCAGGTGTTGGGAGCTGTCTTGGAGTAAAAGATACTTGTATTTTACCACATTGGCGCGGAGCCAAAACATTAGTATGCGACTCATTGTTTGTTTTTAATTTTAAATTTTCAGAATTTTTATGATGAACTTCATTGTCTTTATAATTATAAAAAACATAATCTTTTAGATTTTTTATTATATACTATACAAAATTATAAAAATACTGTTTATCAGGGCTGTGGAGTCGGAGTTGCGGAGTTGCAACATTTTTATGTGGAGTCGGAGTCGCTAAACAAAATCGTGACTCCGACTCCAATAATAAAACTTCTTGGTATTGCACGTGCATGTATAAAACATTCAATTAACCTTATATTTATATTAAACCTCAAAGAATGTTTCATAAATTCGTCAAAAAACTTTTTTTTAACTTGTTGCATAATATTTTTTAAAGAATTCAAAGAATTTTTCAAATATTTTGCTTTGGAGTTGGAGTCGGAGTTGTACTCAAAAAATTTTAACAACTGGAGTCGGAGTCGTTACTTTTTTTTTACAACTCCACACCCCTGCTGTATATAAATATTATATTATATTATAAATATTATTTAACATTGTGTAAAAAATAATAGAAATAACAGAAAACAAAAACGAAAAAAAAAAAATTTAGTAAAAAAAATTTTATAAAAAAGAAAGATTAAAAAGAAACAAAAATTCCCTAAAAAAAAGTAAACAATACTATTATTGGTGGAACAATTTTGTTTCCAGGCCTCTATATCTTCAGAAATATTCTGTACTTGTAAATCTTTCAAGCGATTTCTAGATTGACGTTCATCATCCTCGAGCTTTAAAATCAGTTTTAAAAAGTAATAAAAAATGAATATACTTACAGTATGTCAAAAAACATCACCCCTTGATGATTTTTCAATAAAAACAAATTTTTATATGCTTAAATTTAGATTTTTGACCCCAATTTTTTTTTTATAATTGAATTTATATCAAAAAATATTTTTATAAAAAGAAACTATTATTCTTATACTTAAAAACAAAAATTACTAAAATTAGAAAAAGTAATTATTTGGCTTTATTAGCTAAAATTATTATTAACTAAAACTATTTATTAACTAAAATTAGAAAAAGTCACCCCTATCACCCCTAAAGTAATTATTTGACTTATATAAAATTAATAGTGTATTTGTGCGCCTTTTGCTTTAATAACTGCAAGACATCTTTTAAGCATTGAATCTTCTATGTTTTTAAGCCATTGTGGGTCAAATTTGTGGTGACATGATGATGTCACCATCAGATGGTTTTTGATCAGCTACTTTAATTTTAAAAAGATTCTATAAATTTTCAATTGAATTTAGGTCTGGTGACTAAGGAACATAATCTAACATCTTAATAATGTTTTTTTTAACCACTGAGTAGCTAACTTTGATGTGTGTTTAGGATCTCCATCCTGTTGAAAGATAAAAATATGAGATAAGCCAGTACTTCTGGCACTTGATCTCGGTTGTCATTTTATAATATCAGTATAAATCTCTTTTGTCATGAACTTTGTCATTCTGTCAATGAATTCGAGTTTGCCAACACCACTCTAAGCAAAGTAACCCTAAACCATCATTGGACCTATGACAAGAGGAAAAAATAAGTTAGAAGTATAAATAGTATTGAAATGTTATAATAAAGCTTAATGCTACCTCATTCATGCTTGACAGTTGGTCTCATACATTTAGGATTTAGGCATTCACCATTTTTTCTCTATTTGCGTATGATACCATCAGAACCAAACAAACATATTTTTGTTTCATCGGACCATAAAACTCTTTGCCATTGATCAATAGTCCAATTTAAATGCTTCTTAGCCCAAGCCAATCTTTTCTTTTGATTCTTTTTACTCAAAAAAAGGCTTTTTTGGAAAAACTCTATCTACAAAACCTTGATTTTTTTGAGCGATTGCGAAATAGTTTGAGAATTTACAGTTATATCATGATCTGTTTGTAAATCTTTTGCAAAAGTTTTTGGTGCAGATAATCCTTGATCTTGTTCAAATTTTCGAATAATTTCTCTATCAATGCGTAAGGTAGTCTTAGCTGGGCATCCTTTTCTTGGCAATTTTTTACAGTATACCCATTTTTTTCAGTATAGCCATTTTTTTCAGTATGCCCATTTTCTTATGATATTTCCTGCACTATTAGGCTTAGCATTTACTATTTTAGAAATAGTTTGATATATTTTTCCGTTTTTCTGGTGTCCTAGGATCAATTTTTTTACTGATTCATGGATTTCATATCTTTTTACCATGATTTTTTTTATTAGGAACCTAAAAAGAAAACAAACTTTGCTAAAAAAATTAGTTAGAACAACTTTTATCAATCAAATTTGTTTGTTTTATGGCTTTTTTTCCTGCAATTTTACTAAGTTATACAACAGAAAAGTTAAAAAATGATTAGGGGGGGGGGGTACACTTTTTTTAACTTAGTGGAGAATTTTTGTTTTTAGTATAAGAATATTAATTTCTTGTTATAAAAATATTTCTTGATATAAATTCAATATTAAAAAAATATATTTTGGGTCAAAAATCTAAATTTAAGAATACAAAAATTTGTTTTTATTGAAAAATCATCAGGGGGTGACTTTTTTGACATGTAGATATTACTTTGTGATATATATGTGAAATAGAAAAATCAGTTAATTGAGAAAAAGAGAAGAATTGAGAAACACAAAAAATTGCTTTTGTGTTTCATTGTTATTTTTTCCAAACACCAAACAAATACGTTTATATCACTAAAAAATTTTTATTGAGTTGAAAGATTTATCATCAATTTTTTTTTTATCAATGATCAAAACTTATTTTAAAACTTTATCAACATTTTTAAAATCAACTTAAACCAACTATTGGACTTATTTTGCACACCACATCTTACACCACATTTCACATTATCTTTAAACTACATATATACATTCTCTATAGCCTTTTTTCTATACCATTCTCTAACACCGTTATGTGCATCACTTCTTACACTATTATGTGCATTACTCTTCATGCCATTGCTTATATTAAAAATTGAATACTTTTTACAAAATAATTTATTAGAAATAAAAATAAAATTGAATCAAAACCTTCATTTGTTGTTGCACAGTAAACTTCTTTAATAGGTCTTTATCTTGACATGCTTTCTTTGATTTTTCAGTTTCTTTTTCCTGAAACCATTTTAAAGCTTCATTTCTGAGGTCACACATAAACTTTTTTTCATTTGACTTGCTAAATATTATATACATTCTATACATATACTTGTTAAATACTAAATACATTCGATACATATATACCTAAACTCTCAGTTAATATACTGAAACATCAACACATGGCTATTTAAGTATGAACACTGTATTAATAGCTAAATTTGCATTTGCCAATATAAAATTTAACTAATGATGTACTAAAATTGATATATACAATTTGTTTTTATGATCAGTGATTTTGTTCACCAAGATTCTGTTATCAGCTACAAGAGAAAATAATCCAACTTTCAATGTAAGAAAATAATCCAATTAATAGTTTTTTATTCATAAAGTTAAAAAAAAAAAAAAAAAAAAAGTAGCCCCCTAGACTATTGTAACCTCATCGAATGTAGCGGACTTCTGTTTTATGGAGATTAAAACAGTAAAAAAACTTATGGATATATTTAAAATTTTAATGTTCATGATTCAACGCATGAGTGGTTTGAACAATATTCCATAATGCCATTATCTAATTAACATTTTGTAGAAGAGTTAACCAGATCAAGAGTGATTCTATTGTGATTTTACGACTAAAAAGTTTACCATCTAAAGCTTCTCCTTCTCTTAATACCAATTAAATTTTTACATAGTTCTTCTTTATCTAGAAAGGTGCCTTTACCAGGGCTACAATCTCACCTACCCTTTTAATTAAATATATATATATATATATATATATATATATATATATATATATATATATATATATATATATATATATATATATATATATATATATATATATATACTCGTGGGCAAAAAAATTGCCGCCCTAATTCTTTATTACTCTCTAATGAAAGGTTATTGTTAACAAAAATATGATATCGAAATATCAATATAATTTTAAATATATTTAAATAATTATCAAATATTATTAAAACAACGTATTTTTTTTTGGTAATTATTTATTTATGGTTGATCTTATTTGCCGCCCTTAGAAACTTGCCGCCTATGTGCATTGCACACTATATATATATATATATATATATATATATATATATATATATATATATATATATATATATATATATATATATATACATATATATATATAAATATATATATATATATATATATATATATATATATATATATATATATACACACTAAAAGAAAAAGGTAGAAACTTATACATTAGGTAGGACATGAAATGTACCCTTAGTAAGGTCTACCTTTTAAGGTAGAAAATTATATTAAAAACAATGATTTGTCATACAATTTTCTTAAAGGTATAGTTTTCTACCTTAAAAAGAAGAAAATTATACCGTATTAAGAGTATATCACATATCCTAACTTAAGGTAGAATTTTTTTTTTTTTTAGTGTGTGTATATATATATATATATATATATATATATATATATATATATATATATATATATATATATATATATATATATATATATACACACATATATATATATATACATATATATATATATATACATATATATATATATATATATATATATATATATATATATATATATATATATATATATATATATATATATATATATATATATATATATATATATACATATATATATATATACAGTGGCGACAAAATAAATAGCACACTTTCATAACCAGTTGGTTTTTCTTTTTGGTACCAATATTTTTGTTTTTATTGCAACTTTTTTTTATATATATATAGCATCAAAAATTTTTACATTTTTGAACGGCATTATTCATTTTATATTTATAACTGTAAAAATTGCTTGTTTGAGGCATTTTAGCGGTCGTGCTTACATTTTAGAGGACATTTTAAATAGCACAGATTAGCATTTTATTATAAAAAAACAAAATTTTTGTAATATATCAAAAGATAATCATTCTATTTAATATTCTAAGTATATTCTTGTATATTTTTAGCAAAAAATAATAAAATAATAATTTTCTGTCAATTATGGGACGTGGTAAACATAGAACAGATGTATTTCGAGGACAAGTACAGGCATATTGAGATCAAGGATTAAACAATTCTCAAATAGCTCGAAGATTTGGTTGTTCTCGTAAGAAAGTTATCAGTGCTATTAAATTATTTAACAATACTAGTTCATTAAGCAACAAAAAACGCAAGTTTCGTGAACGAAAAATAACCCCCAGAGAAGACGCAGCCATTGTTCGTATTGCTAAGCTGAATCCTTTTGCTGGCGCACCAAAAATAAAAGAACGAATTGCTCAAAATCTAAAACTCAATCTGTCTGTCAGCACAGTCAAAAGTCAGTTACGCGAAAATAAGCTGTTTGGAAGGGTTGCTCGAAAAAAACCATTGGTCTCAAAACGTAATCTCGTCAGCCGTTTGAAGTTTGCAAAACAGTACATACACAAGGACTTGCGTTTTTGGAAAAATGTGCTTTGGACTGACGAGTCTAAGTTCAATTGCTTTGGATCCGATGGAAAGCAATATGTTTGTTGTCCAAGAACTAAGCCCGTTGTATAGAACTCAAGGCACGATGGATCAACATATCTACAAAGAAATAGTGGAAAATGTGATGTTGCCATATGCCCAAGAAAATCTCCCTCTAGTTTGGAAATTCCAACAAGACAATGACCCCAAGCACACCGCCAAAAGTATTAAAGTATGGCTTACCGCTAATAAGATTGATGTTTTAGGGTGGCCCACACAGTCACCAGACCTAAATCCAATAGAAAGTTTGTGGGAGGAAGTTGATAGAAACATAAACCGTTTAACTGCAACAAATTTAGACCATCTTTGGGTCAAAATAAAAGCTGCTTGGGACGCCATTATGCCGGAACGATGCCAAAACTTGATCTCCTCAATGGGCCGTCATTGTCAAGCGGTTATTGACTCAAAAGAATACCCCACTAAATATTAATTTTCCTCAAAAAAAGTTTTTTAAAATATTTATACAAAGAACTTCCATGATTTTTGTAGCCAAAGGACAAAATTATAATTTTGTACAGGGTTTGCTATTTAAGTTGCCCCCTTATTCTGTAGCTCTAAATCATTTATATGGTTGTACTTTTTTTTTACACAGGCTACTTTCATTTCTTAATCAGTAATGTTATCTTTTATAACTAATATATTATTAGGCTAAAAAAGTTTAGGCCTCAAAAACTTAGATCTCTGGAAAATAAAGCATTACATTTTGGATATCAATCTGTGCTATTTATTTTGTCGCCACTGTATATAAATATATATATATATATATATATACATATATATATATATATATATATATATATATATATATATATATATATATATATATATATATATATATATATATATATATATATATGTATATATATATATATATATATATATATATATATATATATATATATATATATATATATATATGCTACCCCTAACTCTTCTAAACTTCAAACTTGAACAAGTTTATTGCTACAAGTACCTTAATCCTAATAAACTGTAAATAAATGGGATGATCAATGGATAAAAGTTCATAACTCAATTAAGTCGATAACTTACTTACTTAACAACGCCTTGAACAGATTGGTCACACTCAATAAAACTTACTTCAAGTTTAAAGATCTTAGAGTGGCCAGCCAACAGCCTCACAGGGTGGCCAGCCAATAGCCCCACAGGGTGGCCAGCTAATAGCCAATTCAAATTTCCAAGATATTTTCAAGACTTATTAAGGTAAACTTTGGGCTTTTCAAGGATATATTGAACTTTTCCCAACCAAAACAAAACAAGATATGTTGATTTATGAAAAAATGTGAAAATGAAAAATAAATAATTAGTAGATGTTAGTATCGGTTAGACACGGAAAAAATCTGGTTAACTTTAAATTGAGATTTCTTTAAAACCATAATTGCTTTTTATTTCAATTTTTTTTATTATTAAATGTGTTAACATCAATTAGAGTTTCAACTTAATTTTAAGGGGCTTGATGGGTTGTTTGGCAAGAGATCAAATTTTAAAGCGGGTTGATGCCATCATTTTGAAGATTTTTTCTTTTTTTACCTTATTGCTGGCATTAATTTACATTTTTTGAAATTCTTTTTATCTTTTGTTACTACACCTGTCTTGCGAAGAACTCCTTTAACTAACTATTACCAAAAAATCTTCAATCTTGCGCTCTTCAGGACGATTTGGAAGATTCATGTCTTTACAAACAACTTTCACATTATTATCTTTGCGCCAGTAAAACTTTTTTAGAATAGTGAGAAACAGCAAGATCTGGCTAAAAGAGATATTGGTATTAATAATTTTTCATAAATGGTAAAAATCTTTTTTAAAAGCAATCTAGAGATCAGCAGTCAAGGTTTTCTTAGTGACAAAACAAGAAGATTGCATACCACAGCTACAAATTGCTTGCCACACAAGGAACTTTGATGCAAATTTTTCTCATCGAGTATATTTAAATTGATCATCAACAGGTTTATCTTTGTTCACATAGTAAAATTGTTGACCAGGATGTTGTAAAAAATTTAACTTGCAATATGTTTTGTCAACTTTAATTATGAGCATACTTTTATTCGCCATTATTTTAACTAACTCCTTTGCATGTCGAATTCCTTTAATTTCACCATTTAAGCATCTCTTAGGTTTGGCATTTAGGCTTTTCTTAGGTGTATTTTTCTTATAAAATGCTTTAATTCGAGCATTTTTAAGTACTTTTTTGATATAAGAACACAACATCTTGAAATTTCTTGCTAGATCTTGCTGTGACTTGTTTGGATTTCTTGCTATTGAACATAAAATCAACTTTACCTTTTTGGATTTATGGAAAGATTTCTTTCATTCAATTCCAGGCTTTTTTTTGAAGCTTTGAGTAATCTTGAGCTTATTTATAACATCTATGACTGTAGATTTTGGAACATTTATACGTTTAGCAATTAGCGAAATAAAATTAATGTATTTTTGCAAAAAAAATTCACAACTTTTTTGCGCACCTTAATTTATTTCTGAAACATTTTGCAAATCATTCATTAGTAAACAAAAGTTTATTAACACAATTAAAGATAAGAAAGCAATGTTTAATTTAAAAAAATATAAGAAATAAAAAGCATTTGTGGTTTTAGAGAAATCTTAATTTAAATTTTTCCGTGTCTGCCTAATAATACTGGCAGTAACATTAATCAAAATTTTTTTTTACATTACAGAAAATATATCATTATCAAATTTAGCATAAATCTACACAAAATTAATAACTCTGTAAAAGATAAAAACATAATAACAAAACATTAAACTAATTCAAAAAAAAAAAAAAAATCCAGGTTTTCCAGGAATTATTGTAAAAAAAAGGTGTTTTTCCAGATCTTTTCCAGGTTACCAAGGACCACCGTCCACCCTGCCTCATCTCACATACTGTATAGAGCCATTAAACTTCTTGTTACTCATCTTTCAGTATTGCAGCGAAAAGAGCTAGAGATTCCACAAACAACTACTTAATTGAAATTGGTGCAATAAATTCATACCAACTCAATGTCAAAGTATTGAAAAACGTATTGAAAAAACAACTACAAATTTATTTTAAAAAATCTCCACCATGTTTCTTGTAGTACTGCGTTCAGCTTGTTTCTCTGCATAGCAATTGGATATTTTAAAAGTTCTAAAAAATACTTACAAACATATATATTGACATATATATCCAGCTTCCATTACTAAAGTCATATTTAGATTAAACTTTTATACGTCTGGTCCAGACAACATTACTGTCATTGTCTTGAAAAAATGTTGTCCTGAACTTTCTTAAATTTCCTTTAAACTATTTAATAAGTGCTTAACTGAATCTTGTTTTTCTACCTGCTGGAATATAAATCTGTATTTCCATGTTTTCAAAAATTCTGGAGAATACTCTGAACCCACTATTATCACCACATCAGTTTTCTTTCTATTATTAGCAAAACTTTTGAGTTTTTATCAAAATTTTAACATATTATCTTTAGTCTACCAACTTAGCCAACATATTATCTTTAGTCTACCAACTTAGCCAACATATTATCTTTAGTCTACCAACTTAGCCAACATATTATCTTTAGTCTACCAACTTAGCCAACATATTATCTTTAGTCTACCAACTTAGCCAACATATTATCTTTAGTCTACCAACTTACTCTCTGACAATCAACACAGATTTTGATTGTCTCATTCTACAGATGAATTGTTTACTAAATAAAAGGAAAGTTCTATTGTGCATTAGATAGAGACAAAGAAGCAAGGGCTATTGCTCTTGACATATAAAAAGCTTTTGATAGAGTCTGGCATGCTTGTCTATTCCATATGCATGCTTCATATAGTATAATAATTTGGAAAATTTTTAAAATTATTGGACCATTTTATTCTAAAATTATTAAAGTTGTCTTTAATGAACGACAATCTTTTTCATTTCCAGTAACCTCCTCAGTTCTACATGTTGATGTTGTACTGAATGCTGTTCCTCACCTATATTAATAGTCTTCCTGATAATTTTATGAAAACTAACTTAAAAAACTAACTACCAACTTTGAAAGTTTTTTGCTGACAAAGCAACTGTATATTCCAGTTAGCATTTGCTAAGGTTGAACTTTGAACATTAAAATTTAAAATATATCAACATCTTTTTTTTTCCCTTTTGATCTCCAAGTAACTATCTTTTTACTGTATGTAATTTTTATTGTAATTTATATTTTAATGTAATTTTAGGCTCAAAAAAGTTTTATTTTTTCTGCAAACATTGTTGTGTTATAATTTTCTCTGTGAATTAAACCACTAATTTTCTCCTGTCTTCATGAAATGTTTCACAAAAAGTATACATTTTTACTAAGTAGAATATACACTACATTTTTTTCAGAATAATTATCAGTCATAAAATAATCAAAATTAATATTATATTAATTATTATAACACATATTAATTAATGATAATTATTCTAGTTATACTATTAATTAGTAAATAATATTATATATTATCATTAGTTTAATAAGTAAAAAAAAAATATCTATAATAAAACAACATTAATTACACAGCTTGCAGTTGTCCCCATTTTCCAGTAACTTTTTTACATAAATGAAAAATAACTTGAGATTCAGCCACAGTAGCTTTTGACAATTCTGCATCTACTTCAGAATATAATGCCAATTCATATATATATGGAGGAAAACTCAACTAAAATTAAAACTTAATTACAAAAAACAAAAAAACATTTTTTGCTAGCAAAAAGTTATTATGGCATTGTATAAATATTATTTTATATGTAATAAAATTATTTATAATATATTTTAATAAATTATAATCCATTATTATTGTGCATAAATATTTGTAAAATACATATTTAATTGGTCTTGAAAGGTTTTTGTTTATTTTTAACTCCATTTTTTTTTTAATTTTAATTTGTAAGATCAAAGATGCAAATATGCAAAAATAAATAACAAACATTTATATAATTATTTTTAAAAAAGATATCAATTTTTTAATGAACTCAAATATGCAAAAATAAAACCACAAACCTTTATATAATTGTTTGTAGAAAAGATATCAATTTTTTTAATAGAAGCACCTTTTAAAGGCACAATCAAAGTAATAACAGTATCAGTCTCACTCCACTCTACGTCTTCCACAAACAGGGGCATGTCATTAATGAAAAATCTTTTTTCAAAAAAATAATTTTTAGAATAAATAAATTTGATTCATGTCATAAAATATAAAATTAAAATGAGTAAAGTTAAATACAGAAACAATTAAAACAATATCTTAATAATTATAAAAAAATAAATCAACAAAAAATCAGAAATGTTTATTTGATTGAAAATAAAAATCATGTATTTTTGAGAAGTTATATCTGAAGATGAATACAGACTTATTCTGCAGACTTTTATCCAAAACAAAACTAATTGCAACCTCAGTTTGCTGAGTGAAACAAAACACAGAATAGATTTATGATTAAATGATTGTTTTCTATTATTGACATAATAGAAAACAATCAACAAAATAAAAAAAAAAATTTCTAATTAATTACATATACATATAATAAAAACTGTTAGTTAAAATTTCAATCTCTGCCAAATACTTGCCAACCATAGGTGTATTTAATCTATATTTGTTATATATGTGTAACTTATATCTATTATTGACATTTTTATACACTATATATACTATATACTATTTTTATATGCTATATGTTACTTAAATATGTTTTTTACTTTTAAAACTCCACATTTTTTTAGGAGAGATTACTCTATGTGAAAAAATTTCCGAAGGCAAAGCAAGATTCTATTTATTCTATTATTTGAGATCCTGAAAATCTATAATTCAATGTCATTTTTAATAATACAACTTTGTAAATAACAACTTCTGATTTTGAATAAAAATAGAAATATAACTTTTAATTCTGAGAAGTAAACTTCTATATTAAGTTACATATACTAAGCTTTCTATATTAAGTTACATATACTAAGTTTTTTATATTTTCTCTAACAAACAAAATTTGTCATACTTATAAATTGAATATAATGCAACAATAAATACATTTTAATAAATACAAAATTAAAAAAAATATATTGCAATTTTACTAGATCAAAATTTATTTATGTTTTTAAGCATTCTGTGCAAAATATTTGAATGATTTAGTCAGTCTCCAATTCATACAGTGAAACCCATTAGTTTGCTACAACTCTTAATTTTCTTTCTTTATTCGAGATTTATTATTATTCACATACAATATTTATTACTCATACAGTTATCATTGTGTTCTTAAGGAAATAAGTTGAAGCTATTTCAAATCCTTGTGTAGTTGACAAATCACACAAAAGTGATAACATTTCTCTTGACAACTTTGATGGAGTGTTTTCTAACAACTTTGATACCTAAAAAATATTTTAATATTACAAACTTATATTTAGACTATTAGTGCATAAACAAATAATAAACAAGCTAATATTTGTGTGATAAGAATATGTAATAAAAAGCATACATACAACATGGATACATAAATATAAAAACTCCATGTAACTATATGAAAAGAAAACTCACAAACATCTTTTACAAATATTAGGCTTTTTCATTCTAACATTTATTAGTTAATTTTTTCATGAAAATATTTGGCAAGAACAATCTTGTGATATCGTGGTATGTCTTTATAACTTTTTAATAAAAACTGGAAGGTGTGCTATCTTTTTTCTTCATACAAATTAAAGTAGAAACACTAATAATCTTTGTTTCCTTTGACTTGTTTTGTTATGCATTTAAGATTTTTTATATCTTGTTTTCATCCTTCAGGAAAATCAAATCTGTGGTTCCAACTTTTAAAAACTTAAGAGGTTTCCTTTTGACCTTTTAATTATTGTCTGATTAGTACAATATGATTAATAGAATTAGTAAATAAGCAATAAGATTAGCGAAATCTTTAAACTTTTAATTATTTAACTTCTAATACCTGATCTTAAATCTCACAAATTTTTAACATTTAATGGAAATATTTTAAAATTCTCTCATTTCTCTATTCTCTATCAATCAATAAGGATTTTGATTCCTATATTCTACTGTTAACTCGTTAACCATGATAAAGGTAGTAATGTGCAATAGATGAAAGATGGAGGCAAAGACTATTGCTCTTGACATACCAAAGGTTTACTATATAGTCTGGCATGCTTGTCTTCCACAAAAGCTTGTTTCATACGAGGACGTTTTTGAAAGTATTATATCACTATATGAAACACAGTGTAAAATGAGAAAAAATTTTGCTAAGTGATTTTCTACTAATTTATATATATATATATATATATATATATATATATATATACATACATACACACACAGATGCTGCTACATTGACTGACAAATAGCCTGACTCGCAAGGGAGAGCTGCTACATCGACTGACAAATAGCCTGACTCGCAAGGGAGTGCTGCTACATCAAACCAACTATGCCATTATTAAATTTATTAAAAATTAATTTCTGAGCTATAATTTAATTAGAAAAGTTTGCAACAAATTATTGCTAGTAAAATACTCAATAATGTAATCAAAATATGCATTTAGAAAAAAATGGTCAACAAAAGATGAAAAAACTTTGGTTTGAAAAAAAAAATTAAAGTACTGGGCTGCTATAGCTGTTGAATGTTGCTATGTCTCAGCTTGTGGAAAATATTCAGACAGTCTACCACTAACTATTTATATATATATATATATATATATATATATATATATATATATATATATATATATATATATATATATATATATATATATATATATATATATATATATATATATATATATATATATATATATATATATATATATATATATATATATATATATATATATATATATATATATATATATATATATATATGTATATATATATGTATATATATATATAAGCTGTGAAAACAGCTTGAAGAAAAAAAAGCGCCAGGAATGACATAAAGAAAGTAAAGTTTTTTCTACAGAATAGATTTAGATTATAATTTGGATGAAAATTCTGACTGTGATATCACCAACACTTTCACAACATTCAACATTTAGCACTAGTCAACTATCAATTAAGGTATCCAAGAAAATCAACTCTTTAATGTAGCATTAGACCAAACAAAAATAATACCATGACAAGTGATAATGATTGTCACACCACCTCTAGCTGCAGTTAGTATTGATGTAAATAAATTAAAATTTTCTTGCACCTTTTTTAATAGAAGCTCAAACCAACTCCTGTGAAATCCTGTAATAGTAGCATCTTGCAGGTCTTTGCTTTGACACATCTGCAAGTAATACAGGAAGTCATAATGGGGCAATAACTGTCATACAGAAATCAATAAATCAAAGAGTTCTGCTTTTAGCCTGCTGACATCACATTCTTGAAATATTCGCAAATGCAGTGTTTGATGCATTTTTTGTATAAAAGGGATCAAACATTAAACGTTTTGGTAGACTGAAGTCTCAATGGGAGCTAATAGAAAAATCACATGAGCAACTTGAAAGTGATAAAACTGGATGTCTTACAAAGCTTGAAAAAGAGTGGTAGCTTGAAAAGGAGTGGTATCTCAAAAACCTGTGCTGTAAAGAAATTGAAAGAATTCTTGAAAGGCACTCAACATTCTGATGATTATAAAGAATTTTAAAGACTTCTCCTTTTGGAAGAAGATGATGGTACAACAATTATTGACATTCTCGGGGCTACCATTTTGCAAGTTGGATGGCTAAAGGTACATACTGTTTAAAATTTTTTGGTTTTTGTCATCAGTTAAATGTCACAGAGAAAGAAATTGGGATTTTAAGAAGAATGCCTCTTCATGACTGTTTCTGGTCTTCAGCTCTTCTTACAACAGAAAAAAAAAAGGATCTCCTTCTTTTAAAGTTAATCTAAAAATATTGTTAAAATGACAGCAAAATTGCAAATGTTGTAAAAAAAAATAATCTAAACTTCAGTAATGATGAAGTTTATAATAAAAAAGTGAAGATCTAGCAGTACTACCATTATTTAGGGATAAAACTTCTGTTGAAGAAAAAATGGAAATTGTAAAAGCCTTACAAAAAAAAAAATCATTACCAAGAGAAGCCTTCAAACAAGATTTATACTTTCTCTAAACTCTTTTAATTTAAACTTTTTTAATTTAAAGGTAATTTTGATACACAACACTCAATCAATTTATAAGCTCTTTATAACTCTTTATTTTGATACACAACGCTCAATCAATTTATAAGCTCTTTATAACTCTTTATTTTGATACACAACGCTCAATCAATTTATAAGCTCTTTATAACTCTTTATTTTGATACACAACGCTCAATCAATTTATAAGCTTGAGTAAAGGCTAGAGATGGTGTCTCGATAAAAATACTCATCTTGGGCAGATGTTACATGCATCCAGCTGCTGTCTTGTAGAAGGCCTCCTAGGCAAAGACTTAAGGAGTAAACAGATTCTATCTGTTGACCAGCCTCGCACCCCTTCCTCATCTATTAGGCAGGCGCAGATGTATTTTTAATACATTGTTTCCAGTTTAGGATGTTGAACGCTGGATCTTCTTGACTCAATGCGTGGGTATTGCTTGTGTCTCTATTTTTATGACAGGGCAACTCATTCTATTATCTCCTAATGAGGGTACAGCTTTAAAACTCAGTTTTATGGTTCTGAGGCCGGCTGGTAGTCAGGTTTCCCGAACTCTGTGGTAGCTCTCAGAGATGCTGATTCCATCAACAGCCGAAAAATATCAGAGTACTAACAGTGCCATGTTGCGCATGGATGGTGTCCCTGTTTGTACTTTTGGTGTGCATTGCAGAGGCCACATTTGGAGCCCTTTGTTACGGCTTAGGGTTTATTAATAGTAATGAGGCTATTGCTTAGTTGTTAAATAGTGTACTGAGTACTATCTATACTTGAGTCAAGTTCTTTATAAATTTAAAATGACTAAAGTACCTAAAACTAAAAAACACAAAAAACCATCGTCATCACCAAGTTCTCTAAACCTATCATTTACTAATATTCATGGTCTTCGAAGTAACTTTTCTTCTGTTGAGTCTTATCTTTCACCAGACCTACTTGCTCTTTGTGAGACTAATTTGAGTTCGGCTGTCCCATCTTGTGATCTTAGTGTTGATGGTTATCTTCCTTTAATTCGTAAAGACTCCAATAATCACATGCTTGGCCTGGGCATCTACATTCGTAAGAACTCACCCATTTGTCGTGAAACTAGGTTTGAATCTACAGACTATTCATTTATGTGCTTTCGTTTAGCACAACTTCACTCTATCGCCTTTCTCTTTGTTCTATATCGCTCTCCTTCATCCCAAGACTGCACTATTCTTGATGTTATTTCTGATCAAATTGACCAAGCCCTCTCTCTTTATCCATCGGCCAACATCGTCGTTGTTGGTGACTTTAATGCCCATCACACCGATTGCCTTGGCTCTAGTGTCAGTGACTCTGCTTGCGTTAAGGCCCTCAACTTTTGCCTTTCTCAATCTCTAACTCAAATAGTCAACTTTCCAACTCGTTTTTCAGACAACCCTAATCATTTACCTTCTCTACTCGACTTATGTCTTGTTTTGGATCCTAGTCAGTGCTCAATTTCTCCACATTCACCCTTAGGTACTTCTGATCACGGTTTGATCTCTCTAAAACTATTATCAAATTCTTCTACTTCATCAGAATCCCCCTATCATCGTACCACATACAACTACCTTAAAGCTGACTGGGACTTTCTTTCCGTGATTTTCTTCGTGATGGCCCTTGGGTAGAATTCTTTCGTCTTCCTGCTGACAAATGTGCTTCTTACATAACTTCGTGGATTCAGGCTGGCATGGAATCTTTTATTCCCTCTCGACGATTCCAGGTCAAGCCTCACTCTTCTCCTTAGTTTTCCTCACATTGCGCTGCAGCAATTTCTAATCGAAACCGTTACTTCCATATCTATCAGCAAAACAATTCTCCAGAAAACAGACATCTGTTCACTATCGCCAGAAACCATTGTAAAAAGGTTTTGTCTGACGCCAAAGCTCGCTATTCCCAGGTAATTAAATCTCGTATCTCATCACAAAAATTAGGCTCTCGAGACTTCTGGAGAATCTTTAACAGTATCAATAATAAGGGCAAATCTGTTATTCCTTCTCTCTTGTATGGTTCAGACTTTGTCACCTCACCTAAAGACAAAGCTGAATTGTTTGCTAAGAAATTATCATCAATATCATCTCTTGATTCCATTAGTTGCGTTTTACCTGACATAGCCGTCAAACAGGTTGATCCCTTGCTTGACATTCGCATCACTTCAGCTTCTGTATCTAAAGTAATTTCCTGCTTAGACTCTTCAACAGCTTGTGGTCCTGACAACATTCCTGTTGTAGTCTTGCAGAGGTGTTCTCCGGAGCTTTCATCCATACTTTCTAAACTATTTAACAAGTGCTTATCAGAGTCTTGTTTTCCATCATGCTGGAAAGCAGCATCTGTTATCCCTATTTTCAAAAATTCCGGAGAGCGATCTGATTCATCTAACTACCGTCCCATTAGTCTTCTTCCTGTCATAAGCAAGGTTTTTGAATCTTTAATCAACAAACACTTAATCTCTCATCTTGAATCAAATAACTTACTTTCTGATCATCAATATGGATTTCGGTCTTCTCGTTCTACAGCTGATGTGCTAACAGTAATAACCGATAGGTTTTACCATGCATTATATAGAGGTGGAGAGGTTAAGGCTATCGCACTTGACATTTCTAAAGCTTTTGATAAAGTTTGGCATGCTGGTCTTCTCCATAAGCTTTCTTCTTATCGTGTAGCTGGTAACGTCTTTAAGATTATTGAGTCCTTTCTTTCCAATCGTAGTATAAAAGTTGTCCTCAATGGACAACACTCTTCTTCACATCCTGTAACTTCAGGGGTTCCTCAAGGTTCAATCCTTGGCCCTATACTCTTTTTAATTTACATTAACGATCTTCCAGATATTCTCACATCTAAGGTGGCATTATTCGCTGACGACACTACCATTTACTCTTGTCATGATAAGAAGCCTACACTCTCTGATTGCTTGGAGGGGGTATCTGAGCTTGAAAAGGATCTCACTTCTGCTACAGCATGGGGCTCACAGTGGCTGGTGAACTTTAATTCAGATAAAACTCAATTTTATTCGGCCAATCGTTATCGTAATAATTTAGATCTTCCTATATTTATGAATGGTAATGTACTAGATGAGTCATCTACCATTCATCTTCTAGGATTAACTCTTACTTCTGATCTTTCTTTTAAACCGTATATCAAATCCATTGCAAAAATTAGCATCTGCTAAGGTTGCATCTCTTTATCGAGCTCGACACTTTCTTACTCCAGATTCTATTCTCTATCTCTATAAATCTCAAATCCGTCCCTGTATGGAATACTGTTGCCACATCTGGGGCGGATCTTCTAATGATGCTCTTTCTCTTTTAGACAAGGTGCAAAAACGAATTGTAAACATAGTTGGACCTGCTCTGGCAGCCAATCTCCAACCTTTGTCACATCGTCGTAATGTTGCTTCTCTTTCTCTTTTCTACAAATACTATAATGGGCACTGCTCTAAAGAGCTAGCGTTCCTTGTGCCATCTACTAAAATTCATTCTCGTGTTACTCGCCATTCAATTAAGTCTCATCCTTTTTCTGTGACTGTTCCTAAGTGCTTCAAAAACTCTTATTCTTCTAGTTTATTTCCTCGAACATCAGTTCTTTGGAATTCGCTTCCTTCATCTTGCTTTCCTGATTCATATAATTTGCAATCTTTTAAGTCATCAGTCAATCGTTATCTTGCTCTACAGATTTAGTCTTTTCTCTTCCAGTAACTTCCAACTCTTATAGTGGTTGCTTGCAGCCTTGTTGGAAGTGAAGATGTTAAAAAAAAAAAAAAAAACTCTTTATAACTCTTTATTTTGATACACAACGCTCAATCAATTTATAAGCTCTTTATAACTCTTTATTTTGATACACAACGCTCAATCAATTTATAAGCTCTTTATAACTCTTTATTTTGATACACAACGCTCAATCAATTTATAAGCTCTTTATAACTTTTTATTTTGATACACAATGCTCAATCAATTTATAAGCTCTTTATAACTCTTTATTTTGATACACAACGCTCAATCAATTTATTTGATTCTCTTAATCTACCAACAGAATTTTTGACATCATTTTGAGAAACTTGGGCTATTTGTGATGATTACAAGGCTGCGTGTAAGATAGATCATGCTATGAAAGTAGTGATGGAGACACTACCTTACCACCCTAAGCTACCCTTGCTAGATTCATATACTTGTCTTCATCCTTATAAGTAAAAATGTAAATAAGTAAAACTGATGCAAGTAACACTGACAATAGTCGCTTTTAATACCTTTCAGAAATATTTTTAGTCAAAAACAGGTCTTAAAAGAGCTTAAAAAGCAGGTCCGTGTCTTGGGATCCCTATACTGAGTCTGGGAATGAGCCACTGTTATATACATTCATATAATTGTCTTCACCCTAATAAGTAAAACTGATGTAGGTAACACTGACACTAGTTTATTTTGATACATTTAAGAAATAAGTCATTACAATCAAAAACAAGGCTATAGAGGGCTTACAAAGCATGCCCATGGACATGTTTTGTAAACCCTCTATAGCTGGACCACTTCCCATCATCAGTTTACAAAAAAATTAACTGTACTTTTCTTATTGAACCTCACCAAATATGAGGGTGTGTGATATCAAGTTCAATAAGAATTTGTTAAGACCGCCCTATAATCTACACACATATAAATATATATATATATACATATATATATATATATATATATATATATATATATATATATATATATATATATATATATATATATATATATATATATATATATATATATATACATTTATATGTGTGTGTGTGTGTGTGTATATGTGTAAGTGTATGTGTGTATATATATTTAATTTATATTTGCCGACCTCAATCTTTTTGAAGTCAGCATCAGGTTAGCAAAAATTATTAAATACAAAGGTCTGACCACAAAACATAGAAACGAGGTCAGCAATATTTTGCCGACCTCAAACACTTTCAGATCAGCAGTTAGGAAGGCATTGCGGAAAGCCAACCCTAATTCCGAGGGTTATATATATATATAATATATATATATATATATATATATATATATATATATATATATATATATATATATATATATATATATATATATATATATATATATATATTATATATAGTTTCAGCTAATTTTAGTAACAATAAATATTAAAATATTAAATTAATATTCAAATTTTTTAATCATATATTTTTTTTTAATTTACTAGTTTAAAAAAAAGTTTTAATTTAATATTATATGTTATATCTTACAACATTTTGCTCAATTGAAACTGATTGGTGTAAGCCAGATGTGGCCATAGCAATTTGGTCCAACAAGTTCATAATAAAAACTGATGTTGCACTAGCTTCTTTGTTCATTAAATGAGATAGGATTGCATGAAGCAAATATTCTAAATTATTTATATAAAAAAAAAGATTACTTCTTAGCTGTTGTAAGTTTGACGACATTCAGTAAATGAGGAAAATAACTAAATAACAAGTTAAGTTATTCAAGCAGAATTTTCACATTTTATTAATTCAACATTATTTAATTACATTGGTTTATGTGGTCACACTCACACTTTGATGCTTCAAATTAAATTAAATAAGTTTTTAGGTTCTAACATCAAAGCAGACATTCAGTTTTTTAAACATGACTACATAATATATACCATAGTTCTTTTTTTATTAAATAGATCAGTAGAATTATAATGTGTAATTAAACAAATAAGCAAAAGTAGATTTGTCTAGTCAAAAAAAATGATTTTTAAAAAAGAAAAAATTGATGAATTTTATTAAGAAAAGTATTGAAGTAAGAATACAGAGAATTTGAGATTAATTAAGATTAATTTTCTAATATTTAAATATAAAATATCAAAATTTATATAAATATTGTTATTTAAAATTTATATATTTAAAAATAGTAGGTAAGACATGAAATAAAGTGTCAAATAAATTGAAAAAATTGAAAAACTATTAAAATCATAGTTGAAGTTTTTTTTATTTAGTTATTTTACACTTGCTCAGTCTATTTCTATTGTTGATTACAAAAATAGATAATAGATTAGAATTTAAAAAAGACTGACAAATAATTTCACTGCACAGGTAAAGGATAATGTAAATCAAAAATACAGCGTATTTTTTTTTAGTAAAAATTGGTAACAATGTATTTATTTAAGAAAAATAGTGGTTTACAAATAAACTCAAAGTTTCAATAAATAATCTGGAATGAAAAAAAAAATAATAATAATCTGGAATGAAAAATCTCAGACGATTATAAGCAGTCTTACAATAGCATTACTATGATAAAATGTTAAAAAAAAATCACATGAAAAAGTAAGTTAATAAAGATGGTATTCATGTGGTACAATTATGATTTCCTCAGTCAACGCCTTATCAAGAATAAGAAGCATTGATTTTTAATTTTTTAATATTACCGCATATTAGGTGCTATTAAATTGGTATTTTCAAAAAAATGGAATCACCATAACAACATAACTACTTAATAAACCATAAGATGTTTTAGACGTCAAGGATCTTACTTATAGAAGAATGAGCAAAAACTGAACAGAAGGCTGAGTCAGAGATAAAATAGAAATCAAAAAGCAAAGCAAATTAAAAAATTGTTGCAAAAGGCTTGTGATTTTTATCATAGCTAAAAACAAATAACAGAAATCAAAAAGCAATATTACTAAACAAAAAAGATGTTTTTTTTCAAAACTGCCTTAAAAATTGCTTATGTATCTCCCTCCCCTCCTACCCTTCACAATTCTTAACAGACATTTAATTCCTAAACTAGTAGTTTACTATCTGAAAAACATGTAAAAAATAAATAAGTATAAAAAGCTGTATTGTTCCTAATAACAACTTACCAAAAGATTGAATTAAAAGATCTTTTTGGCTGACATCACAATCTTCAGACTTTGCTAATTTTGCAGGTCTACAATAAAAATAATGAAGTAATAAAAAAATTTTGCAGGTCTACAATAAAAATAATAAAGTAAAAAACAATTAAGCTTAAATTTTGTAATAACAGTTTTTAAACTTTTTTCATTGACAATTCAACTTAATAATGAATAACAGTGATAACTTAATAATGAATAAGAGTTTTTGTAATAGGTTTACTATACAAATACATTTTATTTTAACATTCATTGTTAATTTATTTAATACACCAAGTCTGGTTTACTATTAAAACTATTAGTTTTGATTAGGTTTTTTTTTCTACCAATAATGAGTAAATAAATACAAACTGCCTTCTGCTCTTTTTCAAGATCTACATTACGAACAAGTAATGAAGTGCAAACTGCCATTTGCTGTTTTTTAAGTTTTACATTACAAACAAGTAAACAAGTAAAAACTAGCTTCTGTTGTTTTTTAAGGTTTACATTACAAACGAGTAAACAAGTGAAAACTGCCATTTGCTGTTTTTCAAGATCTACAAAACAAACAAGTAATGAAGTGCAAACTGCCTTTTGCTGTTTTTCAAGATCTACATTACAAACAAGTAATGAAGTGCAAACTGCCATTTGCTGTTTTTTAAGATTTACATTACAAACAAGTAAACAAGTGAAAACTAGCTTCTGCTGTTTTTTAAGATTAAGTGCGAATTGCAAGCTTAAAAAGTATAAAACTAATAGGAAAACTATGAATTAAAGAGAAAAAGAGAAAGTTGAATATATAAATAGAAATAAAATAGAAACACTCATTTAGCTTGAAGAATGTTTTGTAAAGTGAAAATGTAAGAGTACACTAAGGTTTTCCTATTTTTATAAGATTTTTCCAACCCTGCTTCATCTGAGCATTTTACTCTAAACTTAAACAATTAAATTCAAACTATTGTTTTTAAAATTTAATGTGCAAATGGTTTTCTAAATGAAATGCTTTTCTTTATCAAAAATATGTTTAATTAGTTTAAAACCTGATGTAAATTTTCTGACATTTTATTTGCATTTTTAAATCAGTGATTTCATTAATTAAATCATTCCAGAACATCATTCATTAATTCTATCATTTCAGAACATTATAAATTAACTCCACACATCTGGTAGTCCTGCTCAAAACATGTTTACCAGTGGTCCTGGTACCATGCATGGTCCTGGTACCATGCATGGTCTTGGTACCATGCATATTTCTTAAAGTAGTGTTTAAACTCAGGCTTAAAAAAAAAATTTGTTGATGCAAAATTGCAGTTGATGCAAATTTTAGTTTTTTTAAATATTAGCAACTTTTTTTTTTTTAATGAGTTGTAATAATTTGACTAAAACTTAAACGAAATTTAAATTTCTAACTCAAATGATAAACTTTGCATCTCTTTTCATAAACTAATTTTGTAAATATAAAATACAAACGTCTGGAAATTATTAATTAATATAATAAACGTTGAAAGTGTCAATTATAAAAATAAATAAAATAAATAAATAAATCTGTAGTGTTTTACTCTGTAATGTTAAACATTCAGTATTTTATGTAGTTTCAATGTGTATACTATGGCTAAGTAAAAAGAAGAGCATGCATATCAAAATTGTATTGGTTAAACAAAAGCAAACTTATTATAAAACCAAAAATATTACATAAAATGATCAGATTTAAATGATTCAAAACATAAGAGTAAAAAAGTGAGAAATAATTAGGATGATCTTTAAAAAAAAAATTTTATAAACTTGATTATATCTGATTTTAGTTTAACAGATTTGGTTTCATTTACAACAAAAAAGTTGATCAAACAGATTTTATATTCAGTTAGCTGAAATTGAACATAGTATTTTCCCCCTATAGTTCTCAATCAGCCTGGGCTTGTTTAATCAGACTTTTATAACAATTATTATATATAAATCTTTGATATTTAAAATTGTTAGCTTCATAGTATCTTTCTCTTTTTTGTAAATCAAATTAAATTTACTGAAAACCATTTTTTAGCTTACACTCTAAAAACAGTCCGTTAAAAAAAGTAACGGATTGCGCTTTTTCGTTAAATTAACAGATTAATTCGTTACCAAAAACCAGAAAATTAACTATTTACAGATTCTTTGAAATTTCATTAATTCAACGGATTAAATATTCTAATCAGTCAAAAAAAAATTTTCAGTATATTATTTAATATACTGAAAATTTTCAAAATAAAAAGCTTTAAAGCTTTTTATTTTGAAAATGATAAAGTTTTGGATGCGTTTTTCTCACATTTACATTTACATCGTAGATTAAAGTTGGTTGCAGTAAGTGTAATATGCCATTTTTTAAAAAGCTTTAAATTTAGTAGACAAAGCAAATGGATAAATATAATTTAAATTGCGCTCTGTTATTTGTAATTTCGAAGGTTATTTAGATTATTTTATATAGAAAATAATCTAAATAAATAGGTTATAAAGCTTTATATAGAAAATTTAACCATAAGGTTTATTTTGTTTTAAATTAAAAGCCATTAGTATTACTAAATAATATATAATAACATATATGGTAAGTTAATACATATCATATATGGTAAGTTACTACATGTCTAAATAGAAAGATATGCAAGAATATATGCAATCCATATCTAGAAAATTATGCAAGAATATATGCAATCCATATAGTCTATATTATAGAAATAAAAGTTCAACTAATCCTTTACTAGTAGTAAAGGGTTAGTTGAACAATTATTTCTATAATATAGACTAAATGGATTATTTATAGTCTTTTTTAACTTTATATTTTAGACATATGACATGTAGTAACATACCATATTAGTTTAAATCAGTTGTAAAATTAAAAATGTTAACATCTTTGATAGGTATATTTATTTAGGTTAGTTACAGCTAAGTTTACATGGCTAGTTAATATGCTTTTATAAGTTTTAATTTTTATTAATTTCCAAATTAAACATGTAGCATCCAATATCATAAACTAAGTTTATACTGGTGTGTTTATATTATTTCAGAATTTTTTGTTTTAGACGCATGGCGTTTGCTATCCCACTGTAAGTTAAAACTAGTTGTAAAATTAAAAAATTTATATTGGAACTTCTATTTCTTTTAACATTTATGTTTATTTAATTGAGTTACAACTAAGGTTATATCTTAGAATTTGCTGCTTTAGAGGCACGGCATTTAGTGTCACATTGTAGGTTTAAATTGGTTGTAGAATTTATATTCTAACTTGCATATTTATTTAGTTGAGTTTAATCTAAGTTTATATTTGATGTGTTTGTATTATTTTAGAATTTACTGTTTTAGACACGTGGCATGTGGTATCCCACTGTAAGTTTGAAAATTTTTAAAAAATTATATTTTAACTTGCATTTCTTTTGATGTTCATGTTTATATAATTAGATTACAACTAAGTTTGTGTATGGCTTGTTTATATTATTTCAGAATTTGCTATTTTAGACACTTGATATAAGCTGTCATAATGTAAGTTTAAATTGGTTGTAAAATTTATATTGTAACTTGCATTTCTATTGACGTGCATATTTATTTAGTTGAGTTTCAACTATTAATAATAATAATAATAATAATAATAATAATAATAATAATAATAATGAGTTTATATCTGGCGTGTTTATATTATTTTAGAATTTGCTGTTTTAGACGCGTGGCTTGTGATAACCCACTGTAAGGTTGAATTAGTAAATTTAAAAAAATTGTATTTTAACTTGCATTTCTTTTGGCATGTATATTTATTTAGTTTAGTTAAGACTAAGCTTATATCACACTTTTTTAACTATTATTCTACTATATTTTATATTCACTATTATTTTAGAATTAGCTATTTTAAACATGTGACAAGTGGTATGACACTGTAAGTTTAAATAAATTGTAAAATTAATTTTTTTATATAGTTGCTTGCATTTTTTTTTGGTCTGCATATTTAATCTTGTTTTGATTTATCATAGTTTTTAAAAGGTTAGAGACCTTATTTTTTGCTTCTGATAGGTATTGATGTATGTGAAATTTATAGAGTCTTTCAGTTATCAGATAATGTCAAGGTAATCTTATACTTTTTTTTTTAATTTACGTTTTAATAAAGATATAATTTACTTGTTCCATTTAACTTTATCTTTAGAAAACGATATCAGAGATAATTAAAATAACAAAATTTAGAATAGAAATTTATATATAATGAATTACCAAAAACATTTTCTATAGTGTTATCAGTAACATTTTATTTTGGTTTTATACTACAGGCTTGGTCGGGAAGCGGGTGCGATCGCACTCGATATTTGACCACGGAAATTATATTTAGTTGCGAAAAGCCGACCAGATTTTTTAGGCGTTTTGAGAACATTTCAAAAACAAGCAAAAAAGCGCAATAAGATAAACTGGACCGATGAGAGACAGTTAAAAAAAGAAAAATAGCTTTTAACGCAAAAAAACTTTAAGCAAAATAAATACGATTAGAGCAAATATTTTTGAAACGTCGGGACATTTTTTATAAATAGTAACAACTTACTAATAATGATTGTTTAATAAAGAAACAAATATTCTTCAATTTATCAAAGATTATGTATAATTTTTATTTATATACTTATGTCTTACTTCCAGTGTTGAAAATAAGAGGTGGGGGGGGGGGGGGAAAGGGTAGAAGAGCTATAGTCCCGAGACACACAATGTTATGGGCCGAGAAATAGTCAAGAGGACCTATCGGTATTTTTTTATTCATTTTTACGCTGTGGCACATAAAAAAGGCCACCAAAATAATGCAGCCCCGCGGCCCTGAAAAGTCCAACAAGATTAAACCATTAAAACTAACGCTACATAATTTATTTATAAATAAAAAAAGTATTTTCAGTACCTGTTTTATGCTTTGCGTAGTTTGAAAAGTTTAACACATTTGAAACAATTCTTCTTAGTAAGATGAACAAATAAAATAACTAAATCATTGAGTTACTGTGGAAATTTAATTACCTAGATAGAAATTAACTAAAAACGTTAAATTACTTTGTAAGAAGGAAGCGGAACTGCTTAACAATACCGCTGATGATGTTTAGTGAGTGGGCTTTATATCTTTGACTAGTATTTAAAACAGAAAATAGTAACTTTAAATTTAAGTATAACGAGTTTGTAAGAATGGCTGAAGCAAAAATAATTGAAGTTAATAAACCAATTTCTAAGAACTTAAAAACTTTTCTTTCTTGGGGGAAAGAATCAGTTATCGGGTACACTGAGGAAAATGGATTAGTGGTTAAAATATGGTGTAAGATTTGTGCTAAGCACAAATCAGCTATTTTACAAGATCCTTTAGTTAAAGGAGCGTTGAATTATTCGTTTTCAGATGGAACTTGTGTGGTGACAAAATATCAGGTAAAATTAAAATGATTTACTTAATTTTTATTTGCCTATTATAAAAATCATTTAAATATAATTGTTACTTATAAATATAGTTATTTTACTATGTTTCATTAAAATTATTATACATAAAGTATTATTTAATGTGCCGTGAATTTATTTTTTGAGTTATTAAACTACGTTATGAACCAACTTTTTTTTAAATAATTAAAATTAATCATGATTTTTTTTAAATAATGATAAAGGTTGATCGCCATCTTAAAGGACCAACTCATAGGTTAGCGGTACAAATTGAAAATGGGTACTCTGAAGATCCTGAAAGTAGTCAAGTCACCGATCTCAATTTTGAAAACTCGGTACCACAAGACAACCGCGATGCGTTATCAAAAATGTTAAGAACTGCCTATGAAATGGCTCTAAAACCGAGCATGCCACATAGCCATTTCGAGACGCTAATAAAATGTCAAAGAATTAATGGCGTAATTCTTTTGGAAGGAAAATGCAACAATAAAGCAGGTTATTGATTTTTAGCGTTTAGTTTGATATTTACTAATATAATTTAAATTAAAAAATCAAATTAAAGTTACTATTATGATGGAAATTTCAACTTTTCATTTTTAAAGGCTATTTAAGGTAACTATGCGAAATGATAATGGTCTTATCAATTTGATTAATTATTTTTTTTTTTAATGTGGAGAGTGATTAAAATTTTTTTTTGTCTACATGCTTATTAGTTTTTTAAATTTCATTTTTTAGCACGTGAATATATCTCCTGCATTGCCAGTGCCATAAAAGAGAAAATTGCTAAAATTGTTAATGATAAAAGCTTTTTCTCCATTCTCTCCGATGGTTCACAGGCAAGAAAAACAAAGGATGAAAAAGAGCTGATTCTTGTGCGCGTTGAACGCGAGGGGACCCCAGCCTACTTTGTAGTATCATTACTTGATATGAACAATTTGGGTGGTATGAGTGCTAATACCATTGAAAAGGGCATTGACAGCATTTTTAGTGAATCAGGTAATATTCCTTTAATGGCGGCAGCTTACAAATGCAAACTTGTCAGCGCGACGGCCGATGGAGCAAGCGTCAATTTCGGAATTTATAATGGCGTGTTAACTCAATTAAAAAACGAGAGAATGTGGCTGATAAAAATTCACTGCGTAAACCATCGTTTAGAATTGGCTATAAAAGGTCCTGTAAAAGATATATTGCAGTTTAAAGAGTGTGAACGCTTTTACATTTCCATTTTTAGTTTATTTCGCAATTCTGGAAAATTAAAAAGCGCGGTTAAAAAAGCTGCTAAAATTTTGAAAATCACATACTACACCTTGCCGAAAATATCGGGAACGCGCTTTATCAGTCATAGGAAACGCGGCTTTACAAAGTTGTTACATAACTGGCCTTCGCTTATTATGGGTTTTGAAAACGTTCTTGCGGATAGCGACACTAAAGCAGATATGCGTGCTAAAATTTCTGGGATATCCAAACGATTGCACGACTACAGACTGTTATGTACAGTTTGTACATAACAGTCTGTAGTCTGTTATGTACAAACTGTACATAACAGACTACAGTCACACACACACACACATATATATATATATATATATATATATATATATATATATATATATATATATATATATATATATATATATATATATATATATATATATATATATATATATATTTAAACTTCTTGTATGTCTATTTCATAATTATTTGTATTAACTTTGATGATTGTTAATTTTTAAACTTCTTGTACGTTTATTTTATAATAATTTATATTTACTTTGATGGTTATAAATAATTTCATTGAAATCGCAGTTATTATTGAAAGTGTTTTTTTTACAAAATCAATCGCCATATTGCTTTAAAAAATTACATTTGAATAAAATACACACATAAAATTACATAAATAAAAATACATTACATACATAAAAAATACATCCCTTGTATATAAAAAATAAGATTATACTAATTAAATCTATAATATATTTACTAAACGTTCACAAGTTAAAAAAAATTAATTTGAAATATTTATTTTTGTAAACAAATGTTAGTTTAAAACATTTATAGCTTTGTAGATGTGACTCCAAGAATGAGCCATTGTATTAAAATAATAGTTCGTTTGATAGTATATTCTTAAAACAATTGATGCTAGAAATCTCAACGAAAACATAACAAAACTCAAACTATACGATTTTAAAAAATAATTCAACAGAATACTCTAAAACATTCGCTTGAACTCTTAGTTAGTATTTTTTGAACCAATAGAATTAGTTGTTCGTAGACTTGGCGGGTTTTTTGTGTTCGCGAATATTCTTTATTTATTTTTCCGCACTAAGATGTTTTGACAACATTCAAGTTTATATAAGTTTCCATGTACGTCCGTAAAACATAGTTTACTAACTATTATTTTGCGGACAAACAAGGAAACATACATAAACTGAAATGTTCTCAAAACGCCTGAAAAATCTGGCCGGCTTTTCGCAAGTGAACATAATATCCGTGGTCAATTATCGAGTGCGATCGCACCCGCTTCCCGACCAAGCCTGATACTAGGTATGTTATTAAGTTTCCGTATTTTCCTTATTTTATTTTATATTAATCTTTAAGGAGTTGACAGCATGGTGTCCGATTTAAAGTGCGAATCTGTGTACGAGTAACAGTATTCAAAACCAAAACCTATTTAAACCAACCAAACCAAAACTAGAGACCAAAAACTAATATCTTGACATTAGTTTATTTTAAACATCTATTATATATATGTGTGTGTTTTATATAAATGTACTAGCTTGAGTATAGTGTATTAAAAATATTTTTTTTAACTATTTTTATTGTAATTTAAAGTATATTGGATATACTTTCCCGTTAGTGCAATAGCGACAGATACAATTCGTTGTATTTAACAGATTTTTTCTTAGAGTGTAGTTGACAATTTGTATTTGTATTTGGTAAAAATCGGCTAATATGGCATATTTGTATTTGTATTGTATTTGATTAAATTTCTTATATTTTTGTTTTTTATTTGATTAAAACCTATTTGCAATTACATAAACTTGGTTAACCTGTGTTTTTTTGAGAAATACCAAGAGGTTCATTTTTTAGTTTTTTTTTTTATTTTTAACATTAAATTACAAATTTGTTTTCATTCTTCTATTTAATAGGCCATTTCATCATTTCATTTCATCATTCATCATTTCATTTCATCAGTCTTTTTATAAGGATTATAAATTAATGATAACAATGAATACAAAGGAACCTTTTATATGATATATATGATAACTATATGGATATTATATAGAAAAAAAATCACAGTAACAGTAATCATTTACATTAAATAACTTACTTTAACAAAAGCATATAACATATAGATGCCTTATAGTGGTATTATAAATATGGCAACATTGTTAATCATACTTACCAGAAATACATCCAGAAAATCTTGTAAGCTTAAATTCTAATTATATTTATAAACTAAATCTAGAAAAAAATTAAAAAAATAAAAAAAAACCTAACAGCTTCCCGCATCTTTGATTCGCTTAATTTGGTTTCGCTTAGAAATAATGTGATTCCAAATACTTTGCCTAGACAGCGTGCCAAAGATAAGCCCTGAAAAATATTGTATATAGGGAAAATCTATTTTAATTATTACCTATTTATTGCACACCTATGTGTAACCAGCCCACACAATAAGGGTCGGTATTTGGCACTGCCAACATAGAAGTATTTGAGGTGAGCGAGCCTATCTAGTATCTATCTTTTATAGTAAAATTTTTGTATCAATTTTTTTTTTGCCAACCTCTAACAGATTAAAGTTAATAAATTATTGCCAGCCTCATTTTTCCTAATTCTGAGGACTGTGAAATTGTAATCTAATTGTAATACATTTATGTGTAAAATGTTATAATTTAAATGTTGAAAATACGAAAAATTAATATTAAAAAGGATTTAAAAAAAAAAAAGGAGAAACTGAACAAACTTACATGTGGATCAGCAAGATATTTGCTATTAAAGAAACTGCACAGTAATTCCTTAAACACAACCTCAAGAAGTTTAATGGGTTCAAGCAAAAATAAACAAAGTGATAAAGTTTCTGTAAGTAAAAAAAAAAAAAAAAGTAAACTCTTAAAGTTTTAATAAACCATTTTATTTGTTAATAAGATTGAGTTAACTAAAAAAATTTCATTATAGGAAGTTGTTTCCTAAACAGTTATTAAAAAATTCACCATTTAATATGATATCATCCTCATTCCCACTGTCAAGAATTAACTGTAATATAAAATATTTTGATTTTAATAGAAATTAGTAAAATAAAATTAAATGAAAAAAACTAAAAAATAAACAAGTAAAAAAAATTAGTAATTGAAAAAAAAACCATTATAATTGCTTTTGCAAACTGGTTGGGGCCCATGATGAGAAAACATTCACGGAATTTACCAATGATTTCAAGATCAATGTGAACATGTCCACCATCTGTTCTACCTGTTGCATCAGAAACAATCTAAAACCAAATACTAATGATATAAAAAGTTTAGTAAACTTTATTTTTACAAATATATTAATAAAAATTTTAAATTGACACAAAGTAAAAAATTGCTGGATTTTTGGGGGGATTTTTTATGTATGTATGTATGTATGTATGTATGTATGTATATATCTATATATCTATATATCTATATATATATCTATATATCTATATATATATATATATATATATATATATATATATATATATATATATATATATATATATATATATATATATATATATATATATATATCAATAATAAAAGTAATTTCTCGGTAGACAGTGCTCAATACAAAAGTAGAGCAAATATGTATTAAATTAATAATAAAATAAATACAATTAGATTTGAAACATAACTCAGAGTTTCACGCTTTATGCGATCATCAGACGTTACAAACAACCGTAACAACAACAAAAATTATATACAAAAATACAATACAGTGTTAGCTTAGATGACGTTAAAGTTGCAAATAAAATGTCGCCACGAAAACAAATAACATTTGTTTTCGTGGCGACATTTTGATATTAGTTCATTTCGTTTATTCAGTAGTTTCAAAGATGACGTAATGATATGGTATTTTTTCGGTTAAGCAAAGGTTACATAACTTTCCTCCAGGTTTAAATGGTTCCGCCCTATCAATAACTTTCCACGTAAGAATAGGATTTGAAAATCCCTTTTTTTTCATTTCCCAGATATATTTCGAAAGTTCTGTGGTGTTAGCTTTACTTTCGTATTGAAAGGAATTTTTATATTTGTACCAGCGATTTTTAAAGGTGTGTTCCGTTAGACCAATATAATTAAGACCACTACCCTGCGGTGATGTTTTTACATTGCAGACGTAATTATATTTTTACTGAGACACATACCTTGCAAAGGACATTGAGAAGGTTGCCGGCAGTTACATGTTGGAACAATTGTGTTGGAAACATTAGATAAAAATTTTTTATTGTGTGAATTAATAATATTGGTGATGTTAGGAAGACAGCTATAACTAACTTTTAAATTATTCTTATTAAATATTTTTCGAAACTTATGTGTTTTTGGAAAATGCTTTTCAATTAGATTTAGAAAATTTTTTGCGATGTTAGTTTTTACATTTTGTGAAAACGGAGGATTAAACCAAATAATGTTTCGTGATCTTGATTTTGGTTTTGATGAGGTAAGGTTTTTTTGAAAACTAATCTTTTCATTATACCCACTTGCTGTTAACGCATTGTTATAAAATGGTGATGCTATATCAAAAACTTCCATGCTAGATGAAATATTGCTAATACAAGGGTGGCTTTTTTCACCCTTTTAATAATTTGCTCCTTGTAAACAAAGTACACAGCTTTGCATGAACTAAAATTTTAAAGACCAAATATTTTACCAGAGTTTGCAAATCGTGATCGTATAATTTAACCCTTGATATATATACTTGTTACATTATAATTATACAAATATATTTTACAAACAGATGATTATACATATTTTCTCTTTCCTCTTTAAACACATAAAATATAGGGAAGTCATCCTTTTTAATGCTTAAAACCGTTTTATTTATTTTTTTTTGCTTCAACTTACTGAATTTTGTTGCCAATAATAATAACCACTAAGAAAAAACAAAAATAAAAACAACACACAAATTATTTAAACTATTATTACTGTTTTTTATTTAAGTTTACTTTAATTTCTTATGTAGTTTTTAAATTTAAAACTTTTTTCAGCAACGCATATAATAAAACTTGCACAAATGCCCATGATCAAGTTGTCTAAATTAAAAAACTTTTTCGTGGTCGTACAAGACAAAAAACTGCACGCCTTTCCTGGGAAGGCTTGATTTAGGAAACCCTATTTAAAATTTAATTTTACATAGGATACAACTTTTCCTAAGCTTTTAGAATGAAAAAAAATTCTCGCTGTACCCTAATATATACTTATTAATAAAGTGCTACCTACAGATAAAAACAATGATGCACCAGATTTGGGTAATTCAGTAGGTGCTACAAAAACCAAAAAATAAAACTATTAATAAAATTATTATGCAAAACATAATAAATTCTCAACAAAATAGTTTTATCCTAATCTTTTAGAAAAAGAAAACAATAACAAAAAAAAAATAATAATAATAATAATATTAAAAAAAACAATAATAATAATATTAAAAAAAAATACACAAAACAATTAACTCGACTATTTGCTACTAATTTATCTACAATAAAAACAATTTTAAAAATTAATATGAAAAAATATTGATAACTTTAAAAGTAACAACCTGGAGTTCCTTTAGGTGGATCAAACTGAAGAACCTCATCCAGTTGAGATGAGTACATGTTTAATATAGGTATTAATATTGCGGTCCTTAATATAGTAAAAAAATTATTAAATAGAAATGCATATAAGAATAAAAGTTTTTAACATTTAACATTCTTTATATTCTTCAACAATACAATAACAATACAATAATCTTAAATAACTATAATACCATAGCATGTTGTGATTTTTTTCTTATATTCTTTTACAGTAATATATGCTATAGGCAATCTATGCTACAAACAGGCTGCACATTTTTGAATTACTTATACGCTGGAGAGCTTGCCATATGCTAGTTTAAAGTTACATAACTCTTGGCTAAATAACTTTAAATTATTAAACTTATAAAAGGTAATAACGGTTTGTAAGAAAACGTTTATATGCTGATATAAAATTAAAAAAATACTGGAGTCCAAACAATTTTTACAGACTCCTGGTCTCCGAACTCTGATTACTCATCCCTGATATATATATATATATATATATATATATATATATATATATATATATATATATATATATATATATATATATATAATATATATATATATATATATATATATATATATATATATATATATATATATATATATATATATATATATATATACATATATATATATTAGGGTGGGTCATAAAATTTTTTTTTAGAGTTGCTAACCTGGCTATGGTCTAGTAAGTTGTTTTTTTATGTACTAATTTAGGAAAGTATTTACTTTTATGGATTGAACAATGTCTTCCACCCGCAACTTTATTTACAAAAATTAGCAGGCCCTATTATTATTCAAAAAAAAAGTTTTTTAAAATTATGTGATGTAGGTACTCAAATAAAGCGAAACTTTATAAAAATTTCAAAAATAATAATTTTTTCATATAAAAATTTTTATTTTAGATTTAATTGCATAATACAATAGTTTTTTAACTAAAAGTGAAAAAGGTGCATTTTTACATGTTTTTTAATAACAATTTTTTTCGACAATATGATTTTTATAAAACGATTATTATTTTCGAATTTTGAAAAACTTTTTTTCTCCAAAATATTAGGGTACCGGTAATTTTCCCAATAAAGTTGCACCCTTTAAATCTATCATTTAAAGGGTACAACTTTATTGGGAAAATTAATTAACAATCATTCTCATATTTGATAGTATCAATATTAATAACTATTAGCAATGTTTAGAGCCTGTAACAAGAAAAAAAAAATTTATGACCCACCCTAATATATATATATATATATATATATATATATATATATATATATATATATATATATATATATATATATATATATATATACAGCTATTCATGAAAGTTTAAACAAGGGTGTAATTTTGATCAAGTAGGCTTAGTCTTTTCTTAATAAAAAAAAAAAGTAAAAACTGGAATGTGGCATGTCAATGATGTCCTTGGTAAGCTCCCAGGTTTTGACTGTTTTTCGTATGCAAGATTCAGAAACCCCAAGTATTTTGCCTATTTGAACGTTGCTGTAAATATTTGACTGGATTAATTATTTAATTAACAAATAATTGAATTTAAATAAACTCGTTTAAAATTTTGTGACACTCAGTGATTTCTCACACCTATCTATTGATCAAATTTCCAAGAGATCACCTATGAGTCGAAACCTACTTTTTTATTTATTTTTTGATCAGAAAAGTTACGGAATGGGGAAGAAATTATTTTAATATCTATTTCCGCTACATTTATTAAACAAAAACCAAAAATTTGTTCTTAAAATTATTAACTTTCGTGAATAGCTGTATATCAATCTTCTCTGTTTAGCCAGCACTTTCGCACTTAGGTTTTTTTGCGCTCACTCACATGCCTGCAAAAACTATTGCGAGCGTATATAAAAGCACTTGCCAATAAAATAAAAGCGTTTTGTTTTAAATTGCAACAAAACTTTTTTGTTGCAATTTTTTTGTTTTAACTTTCATGAAATGTCGCCTATTTTTACCAGTTTTTTTTAAATTATTTTATCTAGTATTTGTTCAAAGCATTATTTTTATATGTATATGTATAATATATTATATTATAATATGTATATGTATAAATCTACAAATTATTTCACCATCAGTAGGTCCATCAGGTAGATGAACCTAATGAACATCTGATGTTCATCAACCTGATATTCATCAGGAAGATGAACCTTCCTGATGAACCTACTGATGGTGAAACAATTTGTAGAAGAAAAAAATTAGATGAAAGTTTTTACTAATTTATTATTGCTCTGTTCTTTAAAAACATTGAGCATTCTATCTGTAGAATACACTAACATAATTTATATATATACAACCCTCGGAATTAGGGTCGGCATTCACAATGCCGACCTTAATGTGTTTTCAAAAAAAATTTGGTTTTGCCAACCTCATTTTAATGTTTTATGGTAAGACCTTTGTATTTGGCGACCTGATGCTGACCTTTTAATGATTGAGGTTGGCAAATTATTGCCGACCTCAACTTTTCTAATTCCGAGGGTTGTATATATATATGTGTGTATATATATATATATATATATATATATATATATATATATATATATATATATATATATATATATATACATGTATACATGTCTAGAAAGAAGTTCAAATATTTCTTTTTAAATTAGTAAAAAAAGATTTTCTTTTTAAAGGTTTAGAATATATAGTTTTTTCTGAAAAAATCAGCCCAGGCTGATTAAATGTAACTAACCTTGCACTATTGATGTTATTACTAAGAGGTCTTTTCAGAAGTTTGATAATTCTAAAACAAATAAAAAAAGGTCAGAAACATAAATAATTTTATGTAAAACTACACTTTTATATAGGAGGTGTAGGAATTATACTTTACAGTCCGAACTCGTTCACTTGATGGCATAGTTCTATATTGTGTACAAAGCCAAACTATTGCACATATACATAGTGCAGGTCGCTTATTCTTAAAACCCTCACAAACTATCTAAAAGATAAAAAAAATCAAATAATTATTATACATAAACGTCTTTTATTAATTGATAACAATTAAAAGACAAGATAAACTAATATAAATAATGTATTTCTTTTTTTTTTGTTTACTCGTTCCTTTTTAAAAAAAGATTAACAAATCAAATATACTTGCAAAACTTCTGTTGTAATATGTCTTCGTAAATGTGCATGTGTCAGCTCTCTAAGAATGATTCCAGCACAACAACAGTACTCGTCCCATTGTGCATTACTACACAGACAAAAAAACTTAACAATTCATAATAAATTTGTAACTTGTAAAACAATTTTCCTAATCAAGGTCTGTCTTAATTTTCAGTGATAAAGATAGATAACTATCAACAACAAGATAGATAACTGTCAACATACAAGCTTCAATTTTGTAATATTGATATTGAACTCATGCAATGTTTTACAAAAAATTCTGATGACTGGAGTCTGGGAACAAGCTCAACCTGAAAACTTGGGTCCCTGGCCCCATGTATGCATAGAATAAAGTAAAATTTTTTTCATGTCTTAAACAAAATAGAAATTTATCTTTAAAAAAAAAATTAACATTCAAAACTTCATCAATAAATTTTTTGTTGCTAAAAAGTTATAAACATTTTAAGTCTATTATTTGTTCATTTAAACGAACGATTAACTTTAAACGCTCACAACTTTTGAATAAAATTTTTTGATTAAATTTTAAATCTGGCAAAGAATTTTAATTTTTGTTAATATTAAGTTAAAAACAGAAAAAAAAAGTTATTGGAGGTATTATTATTACACTAGAGAAGGGTTTTTATCAAAATTTCATCAAGTTTCATTAACAACAAAAAAAGGTTTTGTTCAAAAGTTGTGAGCATTTAAAGTTATTTTTTGGGGTAAATGGGCAAATAATAGACTTAAAATGTCTATAACTTTTTAATAAAAAATGATTTATTGATGAAGTTTTATGATTTTATGATTTTTATTTAGTTTCAGATATTATATAAAAAAAATTATTTTATTCCACCCATACATGGGGTCAGATACCCATATCTTCTGGTTGGGCTTGTTTCCAAACCTCAAACACTGTAATTTTTTGTAAAACATTGTATGATTCAGCTATCAATATTACAAAATTTCAAATTGTACCATCATTGAAAGTTAATCTTGAACACCAAAAATTCAGAACCTACCAGTTTAACCCCTTCTTTTTTTTTTGTACCCCTTTCTTGTTTTTTTGTACCCCCTTCTTTTTTTGGTAAGATATTGACAGAACATTTACAAAATTTAGATTTTAACTGTATAAAGCGTGTTTTAAAAATATAACCAGTTTTTAGTGTACTTTTTTTTTGGTACAAATTTATTCCACTAGGGTGTGTTCGTTTCACAAATAATTTGAACCTTAAACTTTATTTGTTAATTTTATTACATGAGATGACAAAGGTAAGGGTAATTTTTTTAAGGGAGGTGAGGGTACTCATTTGGTAAGATAATTTACTTCAGAGAAAAAATTATAATACAAAAATTCTCTATTTTATATTGTTCCCTGAAAAAATAATATAGAATTCCTATAAAAATAATATAAAATAATTGGTAAAATATTTAAATTAAATACTTTGTTATCAGGGTGTTGTTTGGACTCAACAAATGCTCAAGCATTTCATCAAAAACAGACTGCGTATAATGCTTATGGCTTGTTACCAGTTTGCAGTTTCTTCGCCATGTTAAAAAAAATGCATCTTCATAATGCTTTACTTCTTTGAAAATCTTTGTAATGAAATTGATGTAAATAAAATTGCATAAATAATATTACACATTTTTTATTTCAAATTTTATTACCTGGTTGCCAAACAATAATTCAATATATCCAAGAAGTACAAAGGTATTGTTAAACATATCAGCTCGAACATCACTAAGAACTAATGATAAAAAAAAACACTAAAAACATTATACTAAATTGGGCATAGGCAGTACCTTCAGTGCACATATTGACTATAGGTGTAGGTTTGAAAAGGCATTATCTTCAAATGAACAACATTTACTGTTACTTTCAGTTAAAATAAAACATGTTGCATTAACCTAAGCTGATGACATCAGCTACAGCATTATACACTTCTTAGAAGATGTTTCTTTTTTGGTACTTCAAGTATGTGAATATACATTATTACTTAGCAAATAAAAAACACAAAATGTAATTTTGAAAAAGATGTACCTTCCTTATTCCCTTCAATAGATCTCTCCGCAAATTTATTAATCCTAAAAAAAAACAAATTTTTTAGATGCCTATTGGTTCGGGATACAATATACAAATGTAAATATTTCATGAACTAAATATACTAAAATTATAATACTTGATTTATTTTAAACGTCTAAAATGCACTGTTTATTTAATATTCTAAAAAACTTTGTGTAGAAAGATAATTAGGTAAAAATAATGTTCTAATATCATTATTAAATAATTGTTTTCAACTAAATATTTAAAATAATAATACTTAAGCAGTATATTGAGTAATGAGTCCAACTGATCAAGAGCAGCTAAAGTGACTAAAAGTAGCTGAAGTTCACCCAAATTAATCAACTGCATCAATTCTTGTGAAATCTTTTCTTTGTTTTCAGATGGTGAACTAAGTAAAATTTTCATTGAATCTATGCCTTTCTTTGACATTATTAAGATTTTGCTAACCAACCCGTCAGAGTTTTCATTTAATTGTACACATCTGTTTAATGCAATCAGCTGTTGGTGTTGGGCTGTATCTAAGCCATTATTAATTCTGCATTGATTAACAAAAACTGTGTATGAATTGCATCTAGTAAAAAAAAACATGTTTTCTTTTAATAAAAACAGTAATAATGATGATGACGATCATCATCATTATCACTATCCTCCTCCTCCTTGTCATCATCATCATCATCATCATAGTAATTATCATCATCATTCTCACCATCACCATCACCATCATCATCATCATCATCATCATCATCATCATCATCATCATCATCATCATCATCATCATCATTATAACCATCATTGTTAAACTTACTCAAACTTTTTGTTAAGATTTTGAATGTTGCTATCATTAACTATTAATTGACAGATTTTGGTTATAAGTGATTGCTCTCCATTAACTTTTTTATATCTTGGTTCTAAATGACGCAATATTGCAGGAATCTAAATAAAAATAGAACAAATTATGAGCTGTCAATACCAACAAAAACATGTTTTCAACAATGTTTAGGTATTTAAGTTATAATAGAAACAAAGAAAACTACCAAAATAAATAAACTAAATTATACTAAGTAAAAATATTTCACACAAATTATTATGACTATCATAATAATCATCATGATCACATCATAATTACAATCATCATGATCACAAAAAATCACAATCATTCTCATTATCACAACACAATCGCAATCATTATCATGATCACATCACAATTATCATCATGATCACATTACAATCATCATTTAGATCACATCACAATCATCATCATGATCACATCACAATTACAATCATTATCACGATCACATCACAGTTACAACCATCATCATGATCACACCACAATTATCATCATAATCACATCACAATCATCATTATAATCACGTCACAATCACAATCATCATCATGATCACATCACAATCACAATCATCATCATGATCACAACACAATCATCATTATGATCATAACACAATCACAATCACCATCATGATCACAACACAATCACAATCATCATCATGATCACATCACAATCATCATTATGATGACATCACAATCATCATTATGATGACATCACAATCATCATCATTATACAACACAATCACAATCATCATCATTGAAAAAATGAACAAAACACCAATTGAACAAACATTAAGCAAAACAAATTTATCAATAAACTTTAAAACTAAAACATATTTGATTAAAGAAAAAATAAACATAAACAGGTAAAGCTTCTTTTATAATCTATTATAATAGATACAACCCCTAAGATTATCCATTTTATAATCTATCATAATAGATACAACCCTAAAAAAATATCTTTTTTATAATCTATTATAATAGATACAACCCCCAAAATTGACCATTTTATAATCTATCATAATAGATACAACCCTAAAAAAATATCTATTTTATAATCTATTATAATAGATACAACCCCCAAAATTGTCTATTTTATCATCTATTATAATAGTTATAACCTCAAAAATTATCTACTTTACTATCTATTATAATACATACAACCCTAAAAATTATCTATTTTATGGATCTTTTGGATCCTTGATTATTGCTTAAATCTCATTTTAAGTGAAAATATTTATATTAAAAAATTAATTTGGCAAACCCCTTTCTCTCCATCAACAAGTATCTTTATGCTACTTATTGTGCATCTTTATTTTTAAATTCTTTCATAAAAAACCATAAAAATGGTAGAAATATGACAGATAGATAGAAATGGATGGATAGAAATATGATTCAGATGGAAATATATGCATCAAACCAAATTTTAAAAAGAAAATTAAAATCATAAATTTAAAGTAGCATCAATAATATTTATTAGCAGGAATTTAACAAGAGCTTTACTATGAAACCATAATGAAACATATTGAATATGTACATGTATGCACTGTTTCAGAATTGTTAAACTGAGAATGCTTCATAAAACAATCTTTTCAAGGAAAACTTAACAATTAACAATTTTAAGATTAATAGAGGTAGAGAATGAAATCAGAAGTTAGAAAATGGCAAGCATGATAAAAAGAGAAAAACTGCTAGTGAATTTTAATCTATACAAAACTCAGTTTATTTCTGTTATAATGCATATAAAGCATGCACATTAGCAAATGCTAACTCTGCAATGGATTGTACAGGAGGTTTCCATGAGAGGATTGTATAGGAGGTTTCCATGAGATGATTGTATAGGAGGTTTCCATGAGAGGATTGTACAGGAGGTTTCCATGAGAGGATTGTACAGGAGGTTTCCATGAGGGGATTGTACAGGAGGTTTCCATGAGAGGATTGTACAGGAGGTTTCCATGAGAGGATTGTACAGGAGGTTTCCGTGAGAGGATTGTACAAGAGGTTTCCAGTAGAGGATTGTATAGGAGGTTTCCATGAGATGATTGTATAGGAGGTTTCCATGAGAGGATTGTATAAGAGTTTTTCATAAGAGATTAATACTAAAAGGTAATTTCTGTAAAGTAACATTGCTGATACAATTGAGTGTTTATTATACATACCGTAACATGTTTGAGTTTATAGATGTCAATTAATTAGGACGACACAAAAGTTCATTGAAAGAAAAGTTTAATTTTTATAACCGCTTTCTAGATTTCATATTTCTTCACGAACATATTTTTTTATTAAAGTTCTTAAATTAAATATAAAAATACTAATAAAATTATAAATGTACTTGTCAATATTTAAAAATGTACTTATTCTCAATTTAAAATGACTCTTAAGTCCTGTGACAAAAATCAATGAAATAATTTTTTTTAAGAAACATTTTAAGAATTGATATAAGCAATATTGTGCTAAACAATTAAGTTTTATTTGAAATAAAGTTCACCAGCCATTTCAAGTTCCAAGCTGCTACAGAAGATCGTACTTAAGATCTACCTGTTCTTAGCAATCAAAAAGTGATGATTTTTTTTCAAGACTGGAGTATACAATTGTGTTGTCAGTAAGACCACTCTAGATGTAAGATTATCATTAAGATCATTAAAATAGAAGAGAAAAAATACAGCACTGCGGATGAAACTTGGTGGCATCTAAGAAGCTACTGGAGTAACTTCGGGGTGTTTCAGGTATTCAGTTCCAATAATAGTAATATAATGATAATTAAAAGAATAAAAAAAGGAAGGTTTAAAGTTAAATATTCTAACAATATACTCTAAATTATACTTTTATATTACATTATTTTATCATAAATTATCATAATTTCATTATTTTATCATAAATTATCATAATTTCATTATTTTATCATAAACTATCATAATTTCTTTTTTATTATTTTAACAATATACTCTAGATTATACTTTTATAACATTACATTTTTTTATTATAATTTCTTTTTTATATTTAAAAAAACTAATGTGAAATTAATTAAATTAAGGTTAAACTAATGTGATTTAATAATTCATAACTAAGAATTCTCAATTTAGGTTTTTATTAATAAAAATTAAGCATAAAATAAACTTCAAGTTAAAGTCATTAAGATTAAAATTAGTTATTTTGATCTATTACAAGCAAATTTAAAACAAATTTAAAACAATTTACTTTCAAATTAAGTTAATTAAGGTTATTATGAAGTATGCATTAACATTTACTTTGTTATTTTCAGAAAATGTTTTAAGAATACTAGATATACTTAAAACCTTGGTATTGAACAAATCAAGGTGATTTAATGCATAAACTCAAGAGACAAAAGATGAAGTGAAAATAGTAAAAGAGCAAATGATTTTATTATTTATTTGTAATGTATTTACTAATAATTCTTTTAAAATAAATTTATTTTGCAACACATTTTTTAATTAAAGTTAAATTCCACCAGCACTATAATAGGAAAATACTACATAGATTTTTGACCTTAAATGCCATATAAATTTAATCCGAAATAAGATCAAGTAGTGAGTGTTTATAAATAATTGCAATAAATGTGTCTATCTAAAAACTTTAAAGGGATCCCCAACCCCTGAGACGTGTTCTTTTCATATTAAAGAGAATGCTAAATAAAATGTTTGGGCTAAATTTTTTTGGTTAAAACAAAAGATTAAATGCATACCAAGAAAAACTAACTTTTTTGTTTTAGTTAAAGCTCACCTCTGTTTTGTTGTAGGCCATATAGTCTTTATAATATATGCCGCAATCTAATGACTTGATAATTTATTCAAGCATGTTTTATTCCTACAAGTTTTAGTACATGATATTATTGATTTTTTTGTATGTTTAAAAAATTGATTTTGTAAACAAACAAAAAAATCAATGATGTCAACTACTAAAACTCTTAGGAATAAAACACGCTTGAATAAATTATCAAGTCTGTAGATTGCAGCATATATTATGAAGACTATTTGGCCTACAACAAAACAGAGAAGGTGAGCTTCAATTGAAAAAAAAAAGTTAGTTTTTCTTGGTATGCATTTATTTTTTTATTTATATCAAAAAAATTTAGCTTAAACTTTTTTTATCATTTTTTTTAATATAAACACAACATGTTTCAGAGGTTTGGGATTTTTAATGGCTATGGCTATGGCTATGGGTCACAAACTATGTGCTAAACATGAATGTTGTACAACTTTTAAATTCATATTTTTTTTTTTTCATTCATTATTTTGTTTATTCATTTTTTTGTTCATTCATTGTTTTGTTTCAACCACAAAAGAAAGAGATGCCAGAGCTTAAAAATTCCAATGGTTAGACTGTTTAACTTAACATGTATGAAAATATCTCATAACAATTGAAAATATTTCATAACAATTAAAAATATTTCATAACAAATGAAAATATCTTATAACAATTGAAAATATGTCATAAAAATTGAAAATATTTCATAAGTTAAAAATAAAACAAAAACATATTTATACAATGTATATATATTTAACTAATAAGTATATATAACATATTTACTTTAATAAACAAAAAGGCTGTAAACGCTTGCAATTCAAGATTGTTGACACAAGTAATTATGTTGTGAACAGTATATTCAAATAAGTTATAGCAATTTTCACATAAAGCAGAAGGATTCTAAAAAAAAAAACAAATACATAAGACTTATTATTTCTTTTTTGCAGAAATTCTTTCGTTTAAATAAATATATTTTTCAGAACATTTATTAAAAATTTGTTACAGAATAATAGCTTATTAACTTGAATAAATTAAAATATTAAATAATATAAAATAACAACCTGATAAAATATAGAAATGACATCGGCTAACTGATAACTAGATTTTGACATATATTCTAAAATCTAGAAATAGATTCTATTAATGAAAATATACAAAAGGTTTTAAGCAATTGAAAAATATTATTATATATTCTAACATTTATAAACTTTTTTTCTTAAAAAAAAAGTTATTAGCACTAAGTCCACTTAGGTGAGCGAGCCAATAAAATAAAAGTCATCTGCTGTAACGTAAAAAAAGTTAGACTAATGTTTAAATTTTTGAATGTTTAAATTTAAAGACTAATGTTTAAATTTTTGAAAACATTTTATTTTTATTTTTAATCTTTAGATCATTTTGTATTTTTTAAAACTCAGCAGGTTTTATTTTGTGTTTTTTTAAACTTTTATAGGAGGCTTTTTTTTGTATAAAAGTTAGCAATACAAGGCAACTATTTTAATTACATATGTTTAATATATCATTGCAATATTGCTTGCAGTATTGCATTGCAATATTGCTTGCAGTATTAATACATTGCAATACTGCTTGCAGTAATACAGGTTTGTACTAACAATTAAATAGGAAAAAAATTTGATTTTCTAACTGTCTAATGCAGCTAAAAATTCTGTTTAATCTAATAAAATACAGAAAATTTTTTGAAAACTATAGGCAATTTAAAAAATTATATAGATCTTTTCAGAATCAGCTGTATTTTGATAAACAGTTATAATCAAGACTTTTTTTTAAATCAGCTGCATTTTGATAAACATATCAGCTGCTATGTTTACCGGATTACTAAAACAACTTTTGTTTGATTTTGAACTTTTTCTTTGTATTGAGTTTACTTTGAAAGCAATCAAATGAATATGCTCCATAGATCATCCTAGTTTACTTTGAATCATTCGAATTTACTTTGAAAGCAATGAAATGAATATGCTCCATAGATCATCCTAGCCATATTTTAAAAATCCGGAAAATTGTTTGAATAAAATATCAGGAAAAAATCCAGAATTTGTTTTCCTTTATTTTCTTTTTAATTTCGCTTTTAACTAAATTGTTTTTAATTTTTTTTTTGACACTTTTCATAATTTTTCTATGAGTGATGAGTGAAAAAACAAATATATTACAAAAATAAAAATTGAAAAAAATATCTGAAATTCCAGAAATATCCAGAAAAAAGATAATCCCTGAAATGCTCTTTGTTTTTGAAAGTCGATTCTTAACAATAAAAAAATCTTGTAAAAATTATCAGAAATTTATAAATAACTTTAGCTGCAAGGTACGACACATGTATTGGAAAATAAAAGCTTGCTTTAATCTTGCAAAAACTAAAAGTACTTGAAACATGCATGATAGACTTAGCAGTTACATGCATGAGTGGGGAACCACTCGCTTTGCAGGCAGAGGGTACAATGTTCAAACTCCTTAATTTTCATGTTAACACCACGCTGAACTTGTTTCTTTATGAATTTGTCCAGGTTCTTATTTTTAATATTTAAAATTTTATATAATTTTTAGTTAAAATTAAAATGAAAAAAACAGTTTTTCAAAACCTTATTTTCCTTTAAATGGCGTCAGAAATTTTGTATGAGCAAAAGGTTTGTAGTTTTTTTTGTTTCCAGATTAAAATTAGCATGGTTTTTGTCTATTACTAAAAGTTATGCATTTAAAAATCAAAGATCTTTTTTTTTTTTAATTTTATAAAGATAAATTTTATATCGAAATTATAATATCCTATAATTTGCAAATAATAATAATTAGCAAATTTTAGAGCTGTTAAATCATTTAGATATTGTAGCAAGGTAATTAAAAAAATTTTGAAAGTCTAATCAATTTTAATTAGACCTTTATGTCTGAAAGTTTGAAAAAAGTCTGTTGTGCACCTAAAATCTACCACTCATGCAAACTATAATAAAAATTTTTTTTAGTTCAGAAAAGTTTGCAGTGGTTTACGTACATTTAGTTAAAATTTAAAAAATTTCCTGAGACAGATAATTAATATTAACTTTTGTATTAATAATTGTTTTACTAATAATTAAAAGGCAAAAAAAAAATGCTGCGCACAGATTATCAAAAGATCTCAAAAAGAAAATACCTAAATGATTTGCAAAAAAGTAAAGTGATATAGCAAAATATATTCAATATTAATAGCAAAATAAAAATTATATTTCTAATAAAAAAAAAATTAACAAGATATCTCTCATCTTGGCAGATGTTAAATGCTTCTCATTTTGGGCAGATGTTAAATGCATCCGGCTGCTGTCTTGTAGAAGGCCTCCTAGGCAAAGACTTAAGGGGTAAACAGATTCTATCTGTTAACCAGCCTCGCACCCCTTCACCATCTATTAGGCTGGCCCAGATGTATTTTTAATACATTGTTTCTAGTTTAGGATGTTGAATGCTGGATCTTCTTGATTCAATGCATGGGTTTTGCTTGTGTCTCTGTTTTTATGACTAGGCAACTCATTCTATTATCTCCAAATGAGGGTACAGCTCTAAAACTCAGTTTTATGGTTCTGAGGCCGGCTGGTAGTCAGGTTTCTCAAACTCTGTGGTAGCTCTCAGAGAGGCTGATTCCATCAACAGCTGAAAAATATCAGAGTACTAACAGTGCCATGTTGCGCATGGATGGTGTCTCTGTTTGTACTTTTGGTGTGCATTGCCAAGGCCACATTGGAGCCCTTTGTTATGGCTTAGGGTTTATTTAGTGGAAATGAGGCAATTGCTTGGGCTATAAAACAGTGTACTGAGTACTTGGGCTATAAAACAGTGTACTGAGTACTGGGCTATAAAACAGTGTACTGAGAACTATCTATGTTTCGAGTCAAGTTCTTTAACAAATTTAAAAATGAATAAAGTAACAAAAACTATAAAACACAAAAAACCATAGTCATCACCAAGTTCGCTAAACCTATCATTGACCAATATTCGTGGTCTTTGAAGTAACTTTTCTTCTGTTGAGTCTTATCTCTTGCAAAGTTCACCAGACCTACTTGCTCTTTGTGAGACTAATTTGAGTTCAGCTGTCTCATCTTGTGATCTTAGTGTTGATGGTTATCTTCCTTTAATTCGTAAAGACTCCAATAGTCACATGCTTGACCTAGGCATTTACATTTGTAAGAATTCACCCATTTGTGAAATAGGTTTTATTAAATGGAAACTAGGTTTGAATCCACAGACTACTCTTTAATGTGCTTTCGTTTAGCACCACTTCACTTTATCACCTTTCTCTTTGTTCTATATCGCTCTCCTTCATCTCAAGACTGCACTCTTCTTGATGTTATTTCTGATTATATTGACCAAGCCCTCATTCTTTATCCATCAGCCAATATTGTTGTTGTTGGTGACTTTAATGTTCATCACACTGAATGGCTTGGCTCTAGTGTCAGTGACTCTGCAGGCATTAAGGCCTACAACTTTTGCCTTTCTCAATCTCTAACTCAAATAGTCAACTTTCCAACTCGCTTTCCAGACAACCCGAATCATTTACCTTCTCTACTCGACTTATATCTTGTTTCTGATCCTAGTCAGTGCTCAGTTTCTCCACACTCACCCTTAGGTGCTTCTGATCATGGTTTGGTCTCTCTAAAACTATTATCTCATTCTTCTTTACCATCAGAATCCCCCTATCATTGTACATCTTACAACTACCTTAAAGCTGACTGGGACTCTTTCCGTGATTTTCTTCGTAATGGCCCCTGGGTAGAAATCTTTTGTCTTTCTGTTGACAAATGTGCTTCTTACATAACTTCATGGATTCAGGCTGGCATGGAATCCTTTATTCCCTCTCGACGATTCCAGGTCAAGCCTCACTCTTCTCCATGGTTTTCCTCACATTGTGCTGCTGCAATTGCTAATCGAAACCATTACTTCCATATCTATCAGCAAAACAATTCTCCAGAAAACAGACGTCTGTTTATTACTGCTAGAAACCATTGTAAAAAGGTTTTGTCTCACGCCAAAGCCCGCTATTTTCAGATCATGAAATCTCGTATTTCATCACAAAAATTAGGCTCTCGTGACTTCTGCAGAATCTTTAATAGTATCAATAATAAGAGCAAGTCTGTAATTCCACCTCTTTTGTACGGTTCAGACTTTGTCACCTCACCTAAAGACAAAGCTGAATTGTTTGCCAAGAACTTTTCATCAATATCATCTTTTGATTCCACTAGTTGCGTTCTACCTGATATAGCCGTCAAACAGGTTGATCCACTGCTCGACATCCGTATCACTCCAGCTTCTTTATCTAAAGTGATTTCCTGCTTAGACTCTTCTACAGCTTGCGGCCCGGACAACATACCTGTTATAGTCTTGCAGAAGTGTTCTCCGGAGCTGTCGTCTATTCTTTCAAAACTATTTAACAAGTGCTTATCAGAGTCTTGTTCTCCAGCTTGCTGGAAAGCAGCATCTGTTATCCCTATTTTTAAAAATTCTGGAGAGCAATCTGATTCGTTTAACTACCGTCCCATTAGTCTTCTTCCTATCATAAGCAAGGTTTTTGAATCTTTAATTAACAAACACTTAACTCATCTCGAATCTCATAACCTACTTTCTGATCATCAATATGGATTTCGATCTTCTCGTTCTACGGCTGATTTGCTAAAAGTAATAACCGATAGGTTTTATTGCGCATTAGATAAAGGTGGAGAGGTTAAGGCCATCGCTTTTGACATTTCTAAGGCGTTTGATAAAGTTTAGAATGCTGGTCTTCTCCATAAGCTTTCTTGTTATGGTGTATCTGAAAACATCTTTAAGATTATCGAATCCTTCCTTTCCAATCGTAGTATAAAAGTTGTCCTTGATGGACAGCACTCTTCTTCTTATTCTGTAACCTCAGGGGTTCCTCAAGGTTTAATCCTTGGCCCTATACTCTTTTTAATTTACATTAATGATCTTCCAGATTTTCTCACATCTAAGGTGGCATTGTTCACTGATGATACTACCATTTATTCTTGTCACTATAAAAAGCCAACTCTTTCTGATTGCTTGCAGGGGGCATCTGAGCTTGAAAAGAATCTCACTTCTGCTAAAGCATGGGGCTCACAGTGGCGAACTTTAATTCAGATAAAACTCACATTTTTTCAGTTAATCGTTATTACAATAGTTTAGACCTTCCTATATTTATGAACGGTAATGTACTCGATGAGTCTCCTACCCTCCATCTTCTAGGATTAACTCTTACTTCTGATTTTTCTTGGAAACCTTATATCAAATCCGTTGCAAAATTAGCATCTGCTAAAGTCGCTTCTCTTTATCGAGCTTGTCACTTTCTTACTCTGGATTCTATTCTCTATAAATCTCAAATGCGGCCTTGTATGGAATACTGTTGCCATATCTGGGGTGGATCTTATAATGATCCCTTTTCTCTTTTAGACAAGGTGCAAAAATGCATTGTAAACATAGTTGGACCTACTCTTGCAGCCAACCTTCAACCTCTGTCACATCGTCGTAATGTTGCTTCTCTTTCTCTTTTCTACAAATACTATAATGGGCACTGCTCTAAAGAGCAAGCGCCTCTTGTGCCATCTACAAAAATTCATTCTCGTGTTACTCGTCATTTAACTTAGTCTCATTCTTTTTCTGTTACTGTTCCTAAGTGCTCCAAAAACTCTTATTCGTCTCAAACATCAGTTCTTTGGAATTCGCTTCCTTCATCTTGCTTTCCTGATTCATATAATTTGCAATCTTTTAAGTCGTCTGTCAATCGTTATCTTTCTCTACAATCTTCATCTTTTTTCTTCCAGTAACTTCCAACACTAATTAGTGGTTGCTTGCAGCCTTGTTGGAAGCGAAGATGTTGAAAAAAAATATATATAACAAATATTATTCACCAATAACAGTTAAATGTTCTGAACAATGATCTCAAAATTGGTTTAAATTGAAATCGGATTTAGTCTGGTTGAATCTATAGGACCAAGGGTCCAAGGGAATAACTTTTGGAGTCACTATTTTTTTTGTGCTTGAGATTCCCACATTGAAGTGCTAAAAAAAAGCTTACTATTTGCTTTTAATTATGTTTCAAATGTCAAGACTTGTGGATTTACGCTGTAGCGTTAACTTTCTAATTGAGGTACAATGGCAGTGTGGTAATTTTTAATTTTGTGGTAACTTTTTTTACAATTTTTTAAAACAATTAAAATATGATTTTACAGGTTATTTCCTTGGAGCCTTTAAATATATACATATATAAAAGTAGTAACTATAATAAAATTCTCACCTGAAATTGTAAAAAAAGTTGTGAAGCTTTGTAAGGGATTTGTTGAGGCTTTGTTGAGATTAGTAAAGGAGGGTTGAGATACCTTTAAATTTAACAATAATTAAAACTAAATAAACAATATAAACAAATAAATAAGCATTGTATATTATGTTTATAAATTCCATTAAATCTTGCATGAAATGTTTCAATAAATAATTCAAACAAGAATTATTTTTTTTTTATTATTTGCATAAAATTTTTTACATAATTTTCAAAATTTTTATAAAAGTGTAAAAAATAAGAAAAAAAACTTCTTTTGACACAGAATGATATAATAAAAGAAATTAAAGAAGTTTTCATTATTTTATTATATCTACTACATTCATATAACATAATAATTACATTCATATAGTTTTTAAGATATTTTATTTATTATTTTTAGATAATTTAATCTAGATGTTGCTGTGTGTTACTAGGTAAGCATTTCTAGGTGTCACTAGGTTGGTGTTACTAGGTAGGCATTACTAGGCGTTACTAAGTAGGCATTGCTAGGTGTTACTAGGTGGGCATTGCTAGGTGGGCATTGCTAGGTGTTATTAGGGGGGCATTGCTAGGTGTTATTAGATGGACATTGCTAAGTATTACTAGGTAAGCATTGCTACATGTTGCAGGCGACTGACTATTGTGTAAAAATTAAACTTTGCTTAGTTTTAGTAATCTTCATAAAATTAAAAAAGAAAATTATTACATTTTTGTACTTAGTAATTATATAATTATTATATATAGAATGATTATATATAGAATAATTATAAATAATAATTATAAACAATAAAAATTAATATAGATTTTTTTTAACTAAAAAAAATTGGTAAAAATTTGGTAAGTGTAAAAATTTTTAGTGTCCAACTTCTTATGTGTCCCAATCTTTAGTATCCAACTTCTTATGGTTTCAGAGACATCAATATACTGTCTCAACCTTATCCTTGGTTTTTTATTTTAATGCCATTCATCTTTTAAAATATTTTGTGACAAAACTTTAACTGTAATAAAATGATGAGATTTTACACAAAACTATGGTTAAAGTTAAAGAATCCAAAATTTACTGGCCAATTTCTTTTTAATGCCTCATACAAAAGCAAGTATATCATTAGATGCTTATAAGGAAAGGTTCTGGAACTTTTTTTATGGTTTTACATGTAACAAGCTACACAATACAAAATATTTCTCTCTTTTTTATAGTTTTTTTTTAACCTGATTTAAAAAATTAAAAATTTCATATAAATTAAAAAAAAAAATTTTTTTGTAAAGTAAAAAAAAAGGTAGTAATTATGTAATAAAAAATATATTTTTGCATTTTAAAGATTTGTAGGATTCCAGTATCTTAGGAACCATTTAATTATGTAAAATTGTATGCATTCAAAATTGTATGCATTTCAAAAATTATGTACCATTAATTAATACAAAGTATATGTTTGATAGCTAAAGTATTGTTTAGTTATGAACTTTTCAGGAAAAAAATTTTAAACAGGGCTGATAGTACTATTTATGTTGGGAAAGCAAGCACTTTTAAGTTGGAAAAGCACGCACTTTTAAATTAGAAAAGCAAGCACTATTTAATTTAAAAAGATAGACATTTTTAAGTTGGGAAAGCAAGCACTATTCAAGTTAAAAAAGTAGACATTTTTAAGTTGGGAAAGCAAGCACTATTAAAGTTGGAAAAGCATGCACTTTTAAGTTAGGAAAGCAAGTACTATTTAAGTTGGAAAAGCACACACTTTTAAGTTAGGAAAGCAAGTACTATTTAAGTTAGGAGTTACTAGAAAGTAAAGAAAAAATTAAAGAGTAAGAAAACATATAAGAAAAGTACTATAAATTGTATACATCAGGAAAACATGAAGACAGAAAAAAATGTCATAACATTGATATACAATAAAAATAAACAAGACAAGTAAGTATGAAGTAACAGTTATACAAGAACGTGATTTTGCTGATAAATAATTCATGCATTATTAAGTTTTAATTGATGTAAAAAGAGATAATACTTTTAATTGAGCAGGAACCATGGTAGTAATTGTAGAAAAAAAAAGAGATGCAACCTTATAATGATGGGACATACGCTTAAACTTGGTAAAAAAGCAGGTTCAACTACATTTATAATACATTATTGTACCTTGTCTAAAAGCAAACAGGCATTATTAAAAGAACCAGCTGAAACATTCTACTGGTTCTTTTAATAATGTTAAAAGAACCAGCAGAATCTGTTAGATTCAACATGATATATTAAAAATTTAAAGACTAGTAAAGAAAAAATTTAAAGAATAGTAAGAAAACCATGAATAAACAATGACTTAAAACCAACAAGAAGAAAAAAGCTTTGTTGTCTAAACTTGTCTTAAACCAGTAGGTTATGAAGGAGGAATTTCCAGCAGAAAGACAAAATAAATCAGCCCAAAAACCATTTACAAAGAAAATTACAAAAGGAATAGAATTCAGAACAATTGGAATGTTTCTTTTTTAGTTTCCATATTGATGTAATTCTTAAAGAAAGCCTGTTTATAAATATAAGCCTCAAAAAGCTTGAATACTTAGATAATAAAAACCAGTAGATTGAACTAGTTCAAAATTTATTTTTGGGTCATTTTTTTTTATAAAACTTTCATCATCATCATCATTTTAATGATTGAATTGATTTTTAAATATTTCTTGATATGAACCTCATTTTATAAGAAACCTAGCTCTTTTATAAATCTTTAATATTTACCTTCATGCAAAACATTATTGCAAAGATCTTACAGCCACTGAATACTCGCATTTCCTGAAGTCTTTAACACCTCATTCAATACATTAGAAGGAAATGCATCCTTGCCTAACTCAGTCTTACAAATAACAGATTTCACTTCATTGCATAATTCACTGCAAATAAGCCTTCTTTCAACATTACTAATTAGCTATTTTTTTAAATGAGCCATAAACTTTGTTGTTTGTTTCAACTTAATTTGAAAAAAATATTTATTTAGACCTTTAGGCTGCTTCTTCAAAAATATCCCTATTTTTCTTAACAACTTACAGTTCTGAAAACTTCATTTCCTTTGTCCTCTATATCTAAGACACCTCACTAAATAAGTTCTGCTCATCTGATTGAGCTTGGTATACAGCTTGTTTTGCCTCACACTTAGCCAAGCAATATAAAGAGCCTTGGTCATTCCCTTTCCTTGTTTATAACTTTTTTTTTTAACAATATTTTCCACTTTAGCATTATACTACTATGACTCTTTGTCTCTGAGAATTGTTTTGCTCTTCTGTTCTTGTTTACAAAAATAAGTTGATCTTTTTTCGTAAACCATGCATTACAAACCTTTTCTTTTATGTACTCTGTAAAACCATCTGTGGCTGCACCAACAGGCCCATATCTTCACATACAATCAACCTCTTATTTTCTCCAATGTTTTTCAAAACATTACCAAAAACAACATAAAATCGATAAGCCTCTTATAAATAACATGTCAAGCCCTCTCCTAAGAGCCGTTCCAGCTATATTTTCTTTTTTTATTTGCATAAAACTCACATTGAACAATTTAACGTTTAATCTCACACTATCTCACACTCTGTCAACTTACAACGTTTAATTTCACACTGTCTGACACTCTTACCAGCTACTTTAAGCAATCAACTGTTTAAGAACAAACCCTGTAAAAAACAAGATAAATTATGTTTCTTTATCATTTTTTTAGTTATTATTTTTTAGTTGCTTTTATTTGTTTATTTTTTATTTATTTTTTATTTTAAATACTAAGATTTGTTTAAATACTGAAAAAAAAATTAAAAAAAAAAATTCAATTAAAAAATTTACATTTAAAATAAATAAAAACAATTTTATAAAACTTATAAAATATCCAAATTTCTATTTTCAAGTTAGTTGTTTATGCGATTTTTCTTGTTAAAAATTATTTAACAAGAAAAATAAATTATTTAACATATAAAATCCTAACGATTTCTGGTCTTTAAATACTTAACATACTGAATCATTTTTTGAGCTGATCAATTAATTGATTTATAATAGAATAAAATTTATAATAGAATAAAAGGCGTTTTAGAGTTTTGCGCCTTTATACAATCGATTTTCTACACTAATAAGCCATGATTTCCAGGAACATCGTGCGTGTTTACATTTAATGCTTATAGAAAAACAATAACTATTGTTTTACTTAATGATCGTTGATAATAATCTTTATGTATTTTTTTAGGATATACCTAATTATTCCACAATATGTACAACAATGATAACTTTTTTAGGATTTACCTAATTATGCCACAAAAAGTGCAACAATAATGATATTTGTGCGAAACCAAAATAATAAAATCTGAGGTTTGGATTCATTCATTAGAAAATAAACAATATAAACGATCCACAAACTTAAAAATACAAGCATTGTGACACCAAATTTAAATCTCATTTATCAATTATATTTGAAGTACCAAATGCAACACAAACAGGACTTTCTTTTAGAGTCTGCATCAGGTAATTCAAAAGTTAGCTTCAGCCTATTTTCAAACACAAAATTCTTGTCCTTGGTTAATTCTTGGAAAGTTAACAGATTTAGATAAAACACCATTTTTAACTTTGGCGAACAACACAATCAACAGGACAAGAAATAAAAAAGTTACACTTAAATATGCTGACCAGATTAGAAAAAAAGTAAAAAATGATTTAAAAAAAAGAATTAAAAATGGTAAGAGATTTTTATTACTATTAGACAAGTGGAGCTACAAAAAAAAAAATAGACATCATATGTGTATCAATATCCATAAGAAAAATAGAAATGTGAATAGTCTTTGTATAATAAGAATAAAAGACACAATGCCAGCTAACAAGGCAGTCAAAATTGTTATTAAAAACCTAGGCAAACTTAGTTTGCAGCTCAAAAACCACAAAATTGCTGTTACAACAGATGGACCATCAGTAATGAAAAATATGGGACGACTGATGGGTATCATCAAATTTATCATGACATAAATCTGGCTATGTTAGATGTTTTATATGCTAAGCATATAGATTTAGTAGAGCCTGATGACAAATATTTTGAAAAAGAACTCTTCAATAAGTGGTCAGGAAGATTTTATACAAAGCAAAGGACAAAGTTGGCTTGAAGTAGCTCTTTCTGATTACAAAATCGAATTTGTTTAAGATTTTTCATCATCAATAAATAAGGTTAGAAAAATAGCTCATTTTTTTATAGAAAAACCAACTGAAAAAAATGATTTTCTGCAAATAGAGTGTCACAATAATTGATATACATACACTCTGGAACTTAATGTTGCCAATACTGAAGCGCTTCTTAGAAGAAATAATAAAATCAGTACAAACTCATTTATTCATTTATATCCAACACACTGTGAAATTGAGTATATAAGAAAATTTACTTGCTTTGGGAGGGCAAGATTGCAATATAATTAATGCTTTAAAATATTGGAAATTTTACTTACCAAACTGAAAATACAATCAAGTGAGACTGGTACAAAATTCTAGGAAATAGTAAGTAAAAGAATATTTGAAGAATTGCTAATATAGAAGGCTTGTTAGAGTATTTAGGAGATCCCAACACTTACCTAAAAGCAATTACACAAAAAAAATGCAATAATTAAAACAATCAACAAGAAATGAACTTGCTCTAACATTAAAGAAATTGTTTATCGTTTATTTCTCATTGGCGAGATTGTGAAAAAAGTTTAAATCAAGAGGATGAGGCCACATATGAATGTACTGAAAACATTACAAAAAAAGGAGAATTGAATTGTATTTTGTCAAAAAAAAACACCAATTATTCAACCGTGTAATTTTTCAAAATAACATTTCATTAATAAGGAAATGAGTATTTTTGAAAAAATAAACAAAAGAAGTGGTGATCATTTATTTGAACAAATGTACAATGCTTTGTTAACTATTCCACCATCATCAATCAAAACAGAAAGATGTTTTAGTGCAGCAGGGCTTTTTGTAACCAAATTGAGAACATCTTTAAATGATGAAACGATTGATTCATTATGCTTTCTTCAATCATATCTTTTACAGGAACACAATGGACATGAAATAACTGTTATTTGAATTCACTTATTTTGAAACTTCTATGTTTTTACTGATGTTAATGAAGTACTAATTATCATTTTATTATGCTTTCTTCAATTTTATAAATTAAAATTCTTTAACATTCTTAATTACCATTATAATATTATAACTATTCTTATTAATTACATTGGAATATTTTATTACTTTAAACCAAAATAAATTTATATTAAAAAAAAAAAAAAATTATAATATTATTTAATGTGTAATTTAAAAAAAAAAAAACTTATTTTGTGATAAGTTAATTGGTTAATAATTGATTTATGTTTTTTTTTTAACCAATTAATCATTAATCAAAAACTTCTCAAAATGATTTATTACAAATTAATGTAATAATGTAAACGTTTAGGCCCTAATACTTAATGCTGAGTTTTATTAACCACAGTTTTAAACAATAATGATAACAACGACTAAAGAACTGTAGTAACCTGTTTTAAAAGGCTTTTATAACTGCAAAGTTTACACATGTAAGGGATTTTAATCCAAAAAAGTTTTATGGCATTTAAAAATGATGAAACAATTCATATGGTCTAATTATTTATACTTTTCTATTAAAAATAATTATTCAAAAGGAATTTCTTATGTAGCAATCGTTACAATATATAAATATTAAATACTGGAATTGGAAAATGGGGTTGCACAAGTCATTTAGATTTGATTGAATATCTATTGGTTTTATTCAATAAGATTTTTTTTTTATTTACTTGCTGCTTTACTTTACTTTCATTCATGACTTTTATAAACTTCAATTTTACTGATCTATATCAGAAAAGAATTAGATGAAGTAAAAAAAAATAAAAATTAAAAATATCATTTTCCTTTTTATAAACTTCAATTTTATTATTTTCCAAGTTACGAGATTAAAATTACTTAGATTTAAATAAATAAATTTTCATATTAAAACAAAAAAAATAATTTTTTTTAGAAACAAACTCTAAGATAATAAAAAATTCACCGTGATGCCAGCTTAATGAGTTCATTAAGATAACGCTCCAGCTCTGCGTAAAGAGAATGTGAGATCAGCATATCCTGTGACTTGATTTTATCAAACTGCATAGAAAAAAAACTTTGCATATGTGATTGCAATGCAGATAAATCTTTACCTAAAAAATTTTTTTCAACAAATATAATGTGGTTAAAATAAAAAATTTTAAAATAAATATTAAAAAAATTTAAAAAATAACATTATAATGATAAAAACTTATTTTTTAATTTCAAATTATTATTTTAACCATATACACATAGCAATAGGGAATAGAAACAAATGCCTCATCCTTGAAAGATATCAATATCAATATTGATATCTTTATCAGGATAAAAAGATATCATTATCAATATTATTTTGAAAGATATCAATATTGTATTCTCTTAACTATGTAAAACTGCAAGAAAATAAAAAGCTTTTTTGTAACAAAGTATTAATACAGTTGGTAAAATGCTATAGTGAAGACACTAGTAGATACTGAAGCATTAAAGACTGGTAAAATGCTATAGTGAAGATACTGTTAGATACTAAAATACTGAAGACTAGTAGAATGCTATAGTGAAGAAACTGGTCGATACTAAAGCACTGAAGACTGGTAAAATGCTATAGAGCATCCTACTTTTTTAAGTGCAAACTTCTAATAATAAAAGTCACATGATGTTAGGCCTAATTGAAAACTTATTGTAAACAATATTTTTGTTTAATGAAATCTTTGCAAGAATCTTTTGAGTTGCATCACTTTAAATCTTAATTTAAAAGCTCCTAAATTGTAAATATATCAATTAAAAATTTAGACCTAAAATTATTTAGGTCCATTTTTCTGTTTATAATTGTATATTGGTATAATTTAACTTTCCATTACTATTACTTTTCTCATTGATTATAACTAACCTTGGTTGAAAAATATACGAATCCAGTCAGAAAAATTTTCTGCTCATAATTGTATGTTGGTATATTTTAACTTTCTATTTCTATTACTTTTCTCATTGATTATAACTAACCTTGGTTGCAAAATATATGAATCCAGTCAAAAATAGCTTCATGTGAAATTAATTTTAAGTAAGAAATATTTTGGAAAACATTTTTTTTTTTCATACTATTGTAGAGAAAAATATTATTTATCTATAGAAATAAAAACCCAACAAAAAATGTGTTACATCAAAAATAAATTAATTTTGCTGAATTTTGACCCAAAATAGGCTAACTTACTCTGTCATTGCTCTTTGTTTTTGTTTTTCTTTATTTGAATAAAATTTAAAAAGTAATGCTATAAGCAGCCAATATTTAAACACATCAAAAACCTAGAATCAAAAGACAAGCCATGAAAAACATATCATGGCTTAACAAGCCTGGTAAGGAGTAAAGTAGTACAATAAATAATGTAAAAAATGTGTACTAAAGATAAAAAAATAGTTTAAATTTGGTAAGATAAGATCCTTGTTGGGCTAGATCAGGTATGTATAAATTTGAATAACAGGTTTTTTTCAAATTGATATATTCTTGATCTAGCGCAACAAGTAAATAAAAGTTAAGTAGTAAGACTTACATTACCATATAATTAGTAATAGCAGTCTGCTCTTTGTTAGAGTTTGTTTTAATTATTCTACTATTAAGATCACATTAAAATGCAACTTGTATACCTATATTATGCTCAGCATTGAAATACTCTACAAATCTTATAATACTCCTGTTTATCAAACTTTCTGGCTTCGCTGCTTAACAAAGAGGGTGGTGGTGAAATATGGTAAAGTAACATTTTAATTAGTAATGAGTAACCTCATTTTTTAATGACTAACCTTAACTTTTCCTATTTGCATTGAACTATGGCCTGCAATGCACTTAGCTTTTTATCAATGATTATGTAACATTCATACTTTATATAACATTGTTAAATGGGCCAATTATTTTTAGACACTAAATAATCGGTATCGTATAAGTCAATACCAAGAAGAATGGTCACTCAATACCGAGAAGGATGGTCTTATATCGTGTAGTATCGCTTATGTACCAATGTCAATACTATCAGTATCTCTTCAATACCAAACGATACCGATAATAAAAAGAATCATATAGTATCGCATGGTCTCAAATCAAAAAAAAAAAAAAATTAAAATGTGACTTATTTAATTTTTTATTAACTAAATACAAGTACAATTGCTTTTTAGAGATTTAGCTGTTATTTTTATTAAAAGCAACAAAGAGCCGGGACGCTTCGAACTCACTTGGGGCCTGGGGCAAAATTAAATTTTGGGGCATTTACTGTAAATTTTTACATCTAAAAAATGTGCTTTGCGCGTCTCCCTAAAAATCAGTTGATTTATGAATTATTGCTCTACCAATTAAATTAAAATTTAACTTAATAGTTAATAAACAATAATAAATATAATGTAAAAACGTAAAAACAAACTGCATTTTTTAATTATAAAGAAATTTTAAAAAATTAAATTCTTCTGAAAGATTTGAACCTGAAGCTCCCGACTCATAGGCCATAACTTTATCCACTCAGCCACACAAACTTCTGCATTAGGAAGTTAAGTTATTATATATAATAACAATTCTGCCGGTAATTAATCTCAGAATTATTTCCCGGCATTGTCGGTAATTACCTTTTGAGATAAAGTAAAAACAATACTTAGTAAGTAGTGTTTACTTATATTTTTCTTGAAATAATCCCAGATTAAAGATAAAAGTTGTAAAAGGCATAATGAGTGAAGATTACAGGGCCAACAACACGGGTTTCGAAGTAGAGGGACACAATCATCAATGTTTAAAAAAAGTCCTCTATTTCAAGATTTTCTTGAAAAAAAAAAAAGGTCCTTTAGGAAAAAAGTGGGAGGGATGGGGCACATGCTGGATTAGTTTTCTTTAATAAAAAAAAGTATACTTACGTTTAATTGTTTAAAACTAAAGTTTAGTTGTTAAATGTTGAACACAGAAAAAAAGACCAGGCAAAGATTACAATGCCACGAGAGATTTATTTAAAGTAACGATACCAGATGAGAAACTAAAATATGGATGCGATATCACACAATTAATTAAATTAAAACAACTGTAATGACTGTTACAAAATCAATTATCTTTGAACAATCGTTTTTAATACTAGTTTAAAATAATCATTAACGATTGCATCACAAGCAATTCCCTTTGGAGAATTATATGAAAAACTCTTTTTAATGATTACAAAATTACTTTACCTTTTTGTCCACTCCTTACACACTGTTTAACATAATTATTTGTAAAAATTTAATATAGAAATAAATGTTTAAAAAATATTTTTTTTTTTTTTAATCGTGATAGAAAAAATTGTAATAACAATATCAGATAAGAAATTAAAATACAGAAGTGATACCACAAAATTATTTAAATTAAAACAAAGATACCAGATGAGAAATTAAATGATAAACACGATGTCATATAACCATCTTAGAGAATTTCTTTTATAATAAATGAGTCAGTTATATACACCTCATTAATTATCACCATGATTGGTTGAAATTTGGACGATTTTACTCAAAAACCACTGAATCAATTGTTATGATTTTTTTTTTATAATGATGCTAACATAATTAGTGTTAATTATGTTAGCATTAATTGTGTGTGAGTGTAGCTTTCTTTACTCCTCATTAGGTTTTGCAATGTCGAGTAAAGAGTCAGAAAATCGAAAAAAAAAATTGAAATTTTACACAGAAAATCCATCATTCTCATACTTGAATTATTAGAAAATATTATAAGGGAAACAAAATTGTGAAATAAAATCGGGAAATGGTCAAAATCAATAGTCGACTTAATTCATCAAAATCCGACTCTGTCACAACAAGATTTAGCTACAAAGCTTCTGACAAATTTAATTAAATTTGAGTAAGGAAATCACTTTCGAGTTCCTTGTATGGCAGGCAATTAGCAGTTGAGGTTTTAAAAGCTCTCCTTTCATAATAAATCAATCTTTGACACCAGATCTATATGTGAGTGAATGCTTCAAAAACGACTTCTTCCTCTAATTACAAAGCAAAATAAACATAAAAAAAAATTAATTATGTAAGCATCATTATAAAAAAAATCATTACAATTGGTTAAAGTGTCTTTGAGATAACTCAATTTAAAATCGACCAAATTTCAACTGACCAACATAACTGATAACTTTTGATACTAGTATCGCGTGATCTCCATATCAATACTGTAAGGTATCGCACCGAGACCAAACGATCCCATCATAACTGATACTTTCGATACCAGTATCACGTGATCTTGATATTGATACTGTAAGGTATCGCAGCGATACCAAATGATACCAATATTAGCAATACTTTTGATACTAGTATCATTTGATTTGGATAGCGATACTGTAAGGTATCGCAACGATACCAGACAATAAATCAAAACTCAAGACCAATTATCTAGTGTCTAATTATTTTAAGTAACTCAAACACATTTTTGAATTAAATTATATGAAATCAAAAACATTTTTTTCAATATTTATGACCAATCAAAATTGGAGTTGTTCAGACATTGCAAATAATTTTTCATTAAACTCAAATAATAAATACATACTTTATTATTTTCAAACTTTATTCATTCACTTACCTCATTTAACTGTACCATTTTTAAAAAGGTTTACTATTAAGTAATGAAAATAAATTGAGATTTTGAATTACTATAAATCTATAAATTTATTGCTAAAGCAACTTTAAAGATATATTATTTATTAAAAGCACCAAATTAAATACTCCCTCCGTTCCAAAGTATTATTCTGATTTCAAGTTTATTTTACTGTTCTAAAATACTATTCTGATTTGATATTATTACTGATTTTGCTGCCATGGTAAACATTCACTTTAAGATCTATACATCTACAGGTATGTATATATGAAAAATTAGCCTAGTAAATCAAAAATCCATATTATTTATTGTACACTTTGTTAAATAAAAACAGAAACTAGCATGATTCTGTGATTCCAATTTCCATTTTGTTAAACGTTTCATGTACAAGGTGAACTATTAGAGGAGCTGCTACTGAAATATTTATTCTGAATAGCCCTTAAACACCCTTATTCTAGAATATTTATATCTGGACTGTTTGGTGGCTGACAAATTAGACAAATGTTATACTCATCCTGAGTGTTGACCAAAAATTCTGGATTGTCAATGGCTATATGGAGTTTCACATTATTAATTGTATTGAAAGACCTCCATTTTTGTAAGTTTCAAGTTCTTTACTATTTTTTGGCCATTTTGAATATAAGACTGCTAAAACATTTAAATGTTGCAATAATCAAATCCATAAAAATTGCAATCAAATTTATCTATAAAAATTGGAATTTTAAATAATGTTCCTATACTTCAAATTTTACTATTTTTCTGCTTCACAAATGGGAAAATGTAAATCTTTACATTTAACCATTCATTTGTATGTTGGTAAAATTGTTTGATGTTGAATTTTTTTTTTTCTTGACACCAAAGATTACTGATTGTTTTAGTGCAAACAGTAAATTTTTAGGCAGTTTTCTATTGAGGCCATTTTTCAACTTAAATCAACATATATCATTCAGCATTGCTCGTTTGCAAGCTCGTTTATATCTCCTCAAAAAAAAGAAATTTTTGGAAATAATTTACAAGTGTATGTATTATCTTTGTTAACTTTATTTTTTTACCTTTTATCAATAAATTTCTTGGGAACTTTTAATTTTACTTTATCCATTACCATTTTTGTTAAAACTTAATTGAATATATTTTTAACTAATAGAAATTATGCAAGCTGTTTCTAAAAGTTAGGTATATTTTTATAGCTTAGTTGTTAGATATAATGTAGAAAAATGAATTAAAAATGTCAACAATTGAACAACTGATTTTATTTGGTACAAATCTCTACAAACCATCTATTGAGCAGACATCTATTGAGTATGTATCTTTGTTAGTAGAGTATACATTTCTATTTTACTATTTTCCATTAAAAACAAGTAAATTGTTTTTAATTTTCTAGCTTTTAATTTATTTTTAACAAATCGAAACAGTATTTTGAAAAAAATTTCTTAGAATAAAATCTTATTCCATATAAAACCTTTAAAATATTATCTTTAAATTCTTACCAGAAAGAAGAGATTTACCCAGTACATTCATATCTTCATATTCTTTAGTGCATATAAGCTTTTCTAGAAAACTATGGGCTTTTGCAATAACAGACATACAAGTTTGGGGATCAGTAAAGTTTTTTTCCTCGATGCACTAATAAAATAGAAATAAAAATTTTTAAAACAATGCTGTCAGTAGCCCGGCAGGATGACTAGACAGTTTGTTACTTACAAAAGAATGTTTAAAAAAAAAAAAAAAAAACATTTTGATTTAATATTTTGAAGTGAAGCTATTGTTTTTTAAACATTGTTGTTGCATTTTGAAGCACGTTTCTTCACAATTTAAAATGAGTTTTAAAACTACATTTCTTTCATTTCCAAATGCTATTGTATCATTTTTCAAACCTTATAGTTGCATTTTGAATCACGTGAATGGACAGTTTAATCATTAATAATACTGAATCTCTTTTGTTTTAAATTAGTAAAAAAAAAAATTATTTACTTTGTCAAACAAAATTAACAAAATAAAAAACATTAATTATTAGAACGCAACAATGCACGTGGAAATTCTTTTTTTTTCTTAAAAAAAGATCTTAGTATAATGAAAACTGATTATTATAGCAGACGACTCAAGTGAGAAATAAAAACTGTTTCAGTTACCCGCAGGGTGACCAGGAAAAAACCCAAGGGCACACCACTGTATATATATATATATATATATATATATATATATATATATATATATATATATATATATATATATATATATATATATATATATATATATATATATATATATATATATATATATATATATATATATATATATATATATATATATATATATATATACATACATACATATATGCATATATGTAATACAAAGTATAATATAGTAAAAAAATCAAATTTTCAAAATAAATTAATAAAATCTCCTACATCATTCATCAGTTTAAATGTGTCAATAGTGTTCTCAAACAGCCAGACTACTACACTGGAAATAAGTTTGCAAATATTTGACTTTGAACCACTACTTGAATTACTAAAAATAAAGATAGATTTTATAGAGCAAGCTGTGAAACATTCTCACTTATTTTTACAAGGAGTATCTGTAACTGTATCGTAATTTGATTATAACAATTGTTAAGAATGGATGAATGAACAATGAATGGAATAAGTATTTATATTAAACTTAAATTTTAACTTACACAGAAACATTTATACACTTTTTCAAAACATCTATTGCGCCACTAAAGGAAATGATTGAAGTTCCAAGCGAAAGCTAAGAAGAAAATTCATAATATGAGGATCAAAAATTTCAAAATGTATGGATCAAAAATGGAAAAATTTTTAAAAAATCACACAAAATGCTTACTTTTAGAATACGCTCAGTTACAATCATTGGTTGAAAAACCTTAACAAAAGAAAATAAAAATTTATTAGTAAACAAATTTTAAAGGATCACCTGCGTCTACAATAACAATTAAAAAATATACCAATAAAATAGATTTAAGAAAACATTTTTAAAAATGTTTTTGTAAATGAAACAAAAAAAAACCTGAAGTGATATGCCTTCATTTAAATAATTTAAGAATTGTGTATTTTTTGTGCTGCCAATGAATGTAAAATGAATTAGATGTTCTAAAAAAAAGTTTTTAATATACATTTATATATTTATATATAGCTTTATTCACCACAAATTATTTTATCCATCTATTTTTGAAATTGAAATAATGGCATCATCAAACCATATAAGTGGCCTATATACTAGTGTGGGTCACTTTTCAAAAGTTTTTAAATTAATCTGGATTATTGGGGCTTTACATACCAATGAGTTGCCACTTATGCTTTTAATGTCAGCTTTGAATGGAAAAGCATTATCTGACAACATATACAACAAAACAAAAAGGTAATACTAGAAAACTTATTAACAAAGCAATATTTCTTCCAAAATTATTTCCAAAAATATCCTTCGGCTTGATATTGCTGTAGATTTAATTTATCTTAAAAAAGAAGTTGTAGATTCCTTATCTACAGATCAGAAGTATTTGTACAAAATATATATAGCAGTAGCATTAGGTATTAAACTCTTTATGATTTAAAAGATATTCAAATTGGCCTGCACAATCATACAAGAAGGTTGAATCTCGATGTTTTTGAATCTGGTGCTCTAAGCGTGGGTTAAAAAACTACACAACTTAAAACTACTAACAGAGTTCATTGGAGTTTAATCAGTTGTGTGGTTTCAAATTAAGGTAATATTCTTAGTTAAGTAAATAAATAATAAATACAAAGTTATATGTTTTTTAGTGGGCTTAGGCTTCAATGCCTGAATACCATTGAAGGAAAGATTTGCTGAAAAAGCTCTAATCAAAATTTAAACTTTTTTTTATGTTTTAACACTTTGTTATAGGTAAACAATATTTTGAAGACTTTAAAAAACATAATGTCGTAGTTTATGGTCTAATTTTTATATATCATAGAGTAACTTTAATTTATAGAATCATTTTGATAAGAACAGTATCAAAGTAGTTTGCAAAACCACATGTAAACAATGTATTTATAATTAAACCAATATTTGTAAGTACAAAATTACTTGTAAACATTGAATGTAAAAATAAAGAAAATCAGTATGATATGGTCAAAGAAAAAAGAAAAGTGGCCAGCTAAGCTTAAACTCAAAAAAATTTTAAAAGTGACCCACCTTATTATATACTATCTGTGGTACAAGAAATACAATACAAATTTTGACATATAAAAAAGTACTGCTTGCCTCTTTTCTTATTTTTTTTTTATAGCTGTTTACCTAAGATATAACAATCATCTATTTAAAAAAGTCTCTACTTAACAAACACCTAAAAAAAAACAATTAATTTCAACCACATAATTCTGATAATTCATTTATGGATCATCAAATGTTAGACAATCAGATTAAAGTACCTTTTCAAACATTTGCATTAATAGATGCAATAATATATATAAATAATCTGTGCAAAATTTTAGGTCAAAATAATATTTAGGGGGTGTGCCCGCCAATTGAAAATTTATATATTTAAAAAAATTTGAGTAAAATCATGTTTTACGAGTTTGTTATTACACAATTATTAAAGGCCAACAGGTTTGTAGACTAACTCTTGTTGATAATTTTATATTGCTTAGTTTGAGCCATAGGGATGACAAGATCTAATTAGGATCAACCCCTTAGGCCCTGTAATGTTTTGTATTCTTATTTATATGGAAAAGAATTAACAATGGTTTTTGTTAAAAAAATATTTATAAATCTATATATCTAATTGTTAAAACTAGTTATATATAAACTGTGAGTAGTCTTCTTGTGTCATTATTTCAACTCCTATTGAGTTAAGCACTACAGCTTTTAAGTAAGAATTTCTCTAGGGAAATTAGTTTTTCAAGGGAATACTTTCACAATTAGCTTTTATGTAATTCTCTAAAGGGAATTGCTTATTCCGCGATCACTAATTGTTATTATGAGCAAGCATAAGAAATAATTGTCCAGAGGGAATTGTTTTCATAACAATCATTACCGTCCTTTACATTAAAAATAATTAACATTTTAAAAATTTGAGTTAAATCATGTTTTATGAGTTTGAATTTTTCTGCTTATATTATTACTTATTACTTGCTGTTTAATAATTGTGATGTAAAATGGAAACAAGAAGTACAATAGAAAATTAGCTGATAGGTCAACAAATAGATAAATGAAATCCAACTTGTCTATCATTAAAAAGAGAAGTAATCTCTTTATTGATGCATTATAAAAATGTCTGCAAAGAAACTGACAGAGAAGCATTAACTTCTACTGTTAATGATGTATTCGAGATGTTGAAGAGAGCAGGAATACCAACCTCCCTGAAATGCAATGTTGCGAATTAATTAAATAAACTGTATATTGAATAGAAACTGTTAAAGAAAAAAAAAGAAAAGAAACAAATTTCTTCTTAGAGAAACAGAATAAATGGAATAAAAAACTGGATACTTCTTTGATATTGTATTTGTATTTATTAGAACAGATAATACATGCTCTAAAGGACACAGGTCCAATATTGATGGACACTAACAGCGTGTCCACCTAAAAAAAAAATATTAAATAAATAAATTATGTAACAGCGTACAACATTGAATAAATAATTTATCAACGCCGACAAAACTTTTCAAAATTGATTGAGTTAATTTTCCTCTTAAAGATGTTGATATTATCGGTATTAACAACATCGAAAGGCAACTGATTCCAAATGTTGACAACTCGGTAAGAGAAACTAAATTTGCGAATATCTAGTCGACAATGTTGTTTGTGCAATTTATACTTATGTCCCCGAATGTTGTTTTTGTTGTCAAAAAGAAAGAACATAGATTTATCAATTAAGACCAAGTTATGCAGAATTTTGTAGCGAACCGATAAATCATGCTTTACTCGTCTTAACTCAAGCGACTCCAAATCAAGCAATTGAAGTTGGTTATCGTAGGTTAAATTGCCTAAGTGCAGGATTTTTTTTTTGAAACGTTATTGCACGTTCTCAACAACCTTTATTAGTTCAACATGATATGGTGACCAAACTGGGGAGCAATATTCTAATATAGGCCTAATATATGTATTGAAGGCTTTTATTAAGATTCTAGAATCGCGAGACTTGAAGTATTTTAAAA